CGTTGACAATTCCACATCTATTTCCAATAAAAACTTCTGCCTTCAAAATGTTTGCATGTTCCATGAATCATGCGTAGAAACACAACGCGCCATACATTTTACATTTCATAGAATGGAATAGTATAAAATAAAAAAGAAGCACGTTGGCTTCGCAAATATTAATTTCCCAAAAATAGTGAGGCTCGTGCGAGCGGAGAGTCAGTTGAAATCGGCTTCGTTAACTATTTCGAAGCTGAGCCAAGACGTGGACGTTCATTCTTTTGCACTTTGGTACTCGAGAGTTTCCTTGGTTGAAATTCTTGGCACAGACCAGAAGTTAGGGTGCACAAAGCAGCCTAAAACATGTCAAGGACAAGTCCCTCGGATATTTTGTCTCCTGTCTCTGGTATTCTAGACTTTGAAACTTCGAAAATGTCCCAGCTTTTCCAGTAAGGTAGGGTAGAGTTATTTGAGTCGAACGTTTGTAATTCGTTAGATTTAATCGTGAACAATTTTTAGGTAGCATGCTTTTGGAAACTGGCCATCTAGCTCGTCGTTACTAGTTACAACTTTCTAGGAGAAAATTTGTTTGAATATTCTGAATATCTCAATTCAGTACACTACTTTACGTTAATTATTCTATGAACCTTACTGCGTTCGTTTGCACCTTTGAATTTTTTAACGTTTACCCTTTGAGTGTTCGTATTCTTTTTGTTTTTTATTTCGCCACCTAACCGAAAGTAAAATCAGTCCAAAGTAGTTGTCCGTCATCGTCATCTTGCCAGTTTCTTTGCTGAATCAGTGGATCAGTGGATCGTTCGATCGGTCGAAAGATGAGGAAGGATGAGGTCGATGAAGAAGGTATACACGGGGGCTAGCGGTAGCATGAAACTGAGCGTGGGGCAGGAGAAGTTAGGTGGGAGGGAAACCGAGAAACGACGAAATGACGGCGGTCGATGGACGGTTCGTTAAGTAGATGGCTGGTCGGGAGACTAAGCACCAAAACCACCTCACTGTGGTTTCACACCCGCAGAGATCCGGGCAAGGTGGAACAGAGACAGGGAGAGAAGGAAGTAGTAAACAACTCGCAGTTCCTTTGGTCAGGACTCGTGCGTCCCTCTTTGGATCGAACAGGCAACGTTACACACCTTCCGATTTCTTCGAGCACACAGCGTCCTCTTCTTCCCGTTTTCTTCGACCACCAGAGCACCAATTTCCCGTGACCGACGGCGTAACGACGTTTCGAGATCGTCGACGAACGCGCAGCCAATGGGAAAGTTTCGATCCGTGTAATAATACACTATGTCCTCGCTCACCATCCCCCGTTGCAAATCTCTGGCCCCGGTCTGCGGTTGACACGACGACGAAACTGTGAAATCACTCGCGAGTGTCAATAACAGCACGATTTCATTTTGTTCCAGCGATCTTTAGAAACTCGCCACTTTTTCATCCGCTGCTTATTAGCCTGTTTAATCTTCGAACGGATGGATTCATTTCGAAACTCATCGCGTTTTAATTCAATCCTCTCGGGTAAATCGGGTCGATCGGATTGTAAACTCACAATGGCGTCAAGTAAATCTTAAAAATTCAAATTTAAATAATTCCACGGCGCTTTAAATAATTCACACACTTGCTTGTTAATTTCAGAGAAGCTAGCTTGGCGTTTCCGTTAAGCAAAATGAAGCTTTGAACTCCGGTGAAAGAAGCGAAATTCTACTGGACAATTACTAGCGAGAAACAGGTTGCTTCCTGTGAAAATAGTTAAGTTACTTCCTTTTGCCGAAGAACTTCCTCGTCGCCCACATTTTGACCCTCGAGGAAGGCATGCGAGCGTTCGTCGCAAGATCGGGTCGAGGTCGCGCGGACGGTGGATCCGATGGCAAAACTGTCGTTACGCCTACCAACCTCGAGGAAGGTCGAGGTCGTTTCGGGATTCTCAAAGGGGGCCGCCGTGGGGATGAGGGCGTGCGGGTGATTACCGAAAATGGCCGTGTATTTGCCGCAATTACCGGAACAACGGTAACAAAACAAAGCACACCAAAGCATGGGTCGACCATCTGTTGGATAATAGTCCGTTTCGAGCCTGTTCAGGGAACAGGCTAGTTCTATGAATCACGGGGAGGGGAAAGAGGCGATCGAACCTGCCTCGAGAATTGACCGAGGAAGATGTCAGGTGGATGTTCGATCGTTTCTCTATTTACAAAAATTAACGTGATACATATATATATATATATTGAGATACCGCGTAGAATCGTGGAGAGGAGATCGAACTTGCTTCGAGATCAGAGAAAATGCTGTCAGATGGATGGAAACTAACAGAAATAGAACAGATTGTTCGTTTTACATTGTTCGTAAGTGATTCGCGATAAAAACACAGCGAAGTCGCTCTTTTTATTGAAGCCAGTACTTTTTGTAGACAGTGTATACCACAAGCTTTTCCTGCTTCGGTGAAAACAACTGATTCAGCCAAGCAGATCGTCCAGGATCGTTGCGGAGTAAAGTCGAATTTTACAGAGATTCCCCGTTACCGCCAACTTACTTAGAAACTTACAGTCAGTCTACATTTACGACGCTTCAACATTTAAAGTAGCTCAAGAATTTTGATCGTTTTATAGGCATTAATTTATCAGTTAAAGTTAAACAATGAATAGAAGATTTACGCAGTCTTCTCCGACCGATTGTATACTTTGCAAAGCCGATGGAAAGCGAGTGAATAGCTATCGGGTCAAGGCGGGGAAGTCGCGGAGAGAATTGATTAGAAAACCGTCGATTTTAATAGCCGATAAATCACCGGTTTCGCCATCGACTCGGACTGCAACGGTTCGCAGTCCAGCGTTGGATTATGAGAGGCTGCTTGCTGGCCGCGCAAGAAACAGACGGCGGTTTTGTAATTAACGGTTGCTAATTCCCTCGTAAACTTACGGACAAGCGTTCACACTCACGGACAAGGCGAGAGCCTTCCAAGTCAAATTATTTAACCTGCCGAGGTTCAACTCGACGGCCGCCTCTTCCAAACGTTTCCTCTATTTTACTTTGTGTTGCGCCGGACGTGTCGTTTATCGAGATGCTCCGACGTTTATGGCTTCCGTGAAGGATCAAGCGAATTTCCACGTTCCTTCGAGCCGGTCTGGTCGGTTTTCAAAATACCAGTCAGTCCATAAATTAAACTATGCGAATTCTTGAAAATTTGGACCACTGTGACATCGAACTTCAGGTTTCGGTATGATTATTTCAATTCTCAATTCAATCATGACACTGAATGAAATAATCAGTTAACTTGTAATTTATTAACTTGGAAAATTTTTAATGATAAAAAAGTCACGAGATGATTCGCAACTGTTAGCTTCCTCGTAAGAGAGTTCTTCTTGGAAATGGCTGGTCGACGAACACGCCCTTGAGAAAGCGTGTTTTGTCATCGACGACTATCCGCTCAGAATTGTCAATGTCCGGACTTTCCACCAAGTCTTCCCCTTACTCAACGACTGTGGTCATCACGTATGCATCTCTGCAATTGTGAGACGAGCCCGTGAACGCAAGTTCCTTGAACTCTGATTGACTTTTTAAAGTTTTGCTTGCATTTTACCTGGAGAAATTAATATCTAACTAGTATTTTTAATAGAATGATTGATGAAAACTCTTTTTGGTTTGATTAAATTCTTCAATTTAATTGAAGAAATAATATTTGATAATTTTTGTAACGAAACAGAACGATTGATAAGGATTCCTTTTGAAATGATTAAACTTCTTAGTTTATTACGCAAGAAAATGTTTCATAATTCTCTCCTTCTTCTTAATAGTACAGAGTGATCTTAATGGAATTCTTTGATTTTAGAACTTTTCTTCACTTTTCTCACCCGAAGGTACCACGTTTTCACAACTCATTTTTTGATCGAACTCTCAATTAAATAAATATCAATAACGATACATTATCATTCTGTTTCCTTTCCTTTGGTATAAAAAATGATTGATAAAGCTGATCGATTCGAAGGCCAGCAGGAAGCAGACTATAGTGTTACAGGCATCGAATGAAAGCTGAAACGGCCGATTGAGACGAGGAATAAAAGATGAAAAAAAGGTAGTAAAATATTGTGTGTCTTTTCGTGAAACTTCTTTTCCAATCTCTGTAAAAATATACGCGTATACACATGCATATTTCACAGTCACAGGTCGCCCGTGTTCAACCTCAGTGGCGAATAAAAATCTTGCCGAATCATCGATGAATCAGCGTAACGATATTTTCCTCTCTGTTTCCGTAACTTTTACCGGTCAGCTCGTCTCGCCATTACCACGGAGGTACTTGGAAACTCATTGCACGTCCGACGGAAGTCGCGAACTCTGCGATAAATATTTCACGAGATGATAATTAATATCGGATAATTACTCGGCATGAGTAACGTTAGGATTGTTTACGCTGTACCTACGTACAGTCCACGTAGTTTTTAATCAATTATCATACTACTGGAACATAGATTTTTGTATATTTTCTGGGGCCTTTGTTACTTAAATACTTATACGCTTCGAACTGTGTTTTTATAATACATTTTGTGTATATTGTTTTAATTCAAGTATAATTCTGTATGTTGGAAATTCAGAAGATCAACTATGCAACGTTGTAGCAATCGTTTCGACTTCCGGCATACTTTGATTCGTGAATCATCTCAATTAATCTAACAAAGTTACTCACTCAGAACACCGTTACGATTTCACAAACAGTCCGTAGAATCCAGTCCATGAGTCTTTTCCTTGGAATCCTATCTTATTCAACGTTTGTGCTCGATTTGTACTAATTGTAAGAAATATCATTAATACGTTTATATATAGGAAATTTAAAGTCACGAAAATTGTGTATGGAATACACGTAATATACACAAATCTATCACATCTCTCCTTTTTTGATATCTACTAAAATTACCAGATTATTCAAAATCAGATACTGGTATCAGATTTTTCGTTCTAAGAATAGAAATTTGCATAAATATAAATGGTTTCTTTCTAATAGATTTTAACGATTTTCTTTGCAGATACAAGTACGGGTACTGCAGAGTGGACTTACCCATCGGCAGCACCATCTTATCCAGCTCCTCCGGTAAGCAGCGGTGGTTCGTTTTCACCGATTCCTGGAGGGGCATTCTCGTATCCTGGGGAGGCCCTTTCTCATCATCCAACGACAGAACCGGTACCATTACCCACCGGTTAGTCAAAAGAATTTATTCGTAGTAGAACACTATTAGTACTATACTTTATAAATTTTATTGACTCTCTCTCTCTCTCTCTCAGATAAAGGAATAATCATTTTTAAAATCGTTCATTTTCAATTTTCCATCATTTTATCACACTGTCAAAGAATCAAATACAAGTTAGTGATTCTTCTATTTGAGGGAGAATTCTGATACTTAGACATTTATTGATAATTATTTGTTAACACTAGTCGAATACTAGTAATTCGTATAATCTTTTTATTTTTAACAGATTCTCAGACTTGTCGCTCATTATATTTATCAAAAGGAAACTCACAAATACAAACTAATTATTTCTGTAACAAATCTGAATCGATTTTTACTGTTCTGTACAAGATGCTCAACAGATGCTCAGAGATATTCTAAATTTATTCGATCTTTACACGCCAGTCACATTTCAATCACAGCCTTCAAACATCTGAATTTACAATCTACGTACACAAGAATCTACATAGTCAGCAACAACTTCATTCAAAGTCCACTTTAAATCTTCCAGTTCATCATTCAGAAACTCATCTCTTCTACACGCAGACCAACAATCTACACATTTAATCTCTTCGCTTCAACCACTTTTCAGTCTCCGAAGTGTTCAGCCTTTAATTATGTAGAATCAACACAGTCGACAACAGCCGCACACAAAGTCTATTTTAAACCTTTCAGTTCTTCCGTCAGACAGTCAACAGGACACGTACACACCGAACTGCGTTTCCATGTATCCAAGTCACGGTACATCGTCCACCTCGTTACCACTGGTACCCACCAAGTCCAGTGATCCAGACATCTTTGCTGGCAGCGGGACAGGCAGCGGTAGTCCAGGTTATCACTACGGTTCCTGGACGTCTGGACCGGCTACCCCAGTTCCAGTCGCCTCTCACAATTACAATCCAAACTACCAGGGCTACTACAACAATCCAAGCCAAAATTACATAAGCCCAGCGCCTATGGTTCTCTATCCGCAGCTGTACAGCACGGTGAACCAGAATCAGATTCATTTGCATCTTCACGGCGACTTGAGCGAGGAACAAGTGACAATCGCTGGGAGCAATCTGACGATCAGCAGCAACAGGCTGGAGATCGGTGTCATGGGCGAGGAGAACGAGCAGAGGAACGACGTTTGGAGACCTTACTGAAGAGACAAACTCAGAGGATTCAGGTTCAATTCAGTGATCTTAAGGCTTGGTACAAAGTATCGATGCTGTGCTCTCGGTTCGCTGTTCTGTTCTGGAAACGATTGTACTCAAATGGAGATAGTCCATTCTCAAATTCGTTATTTAACGATCTCTGATTTTACATACCTGCTTTCGAGACATAAACGTACATGTGACGTACCTTTAATTTCAAGCCAGTTACAGCTTATTTAAATCATTAAGGACCAATGATTTACGCTAATACAACATTTCATTTGTGATTCTTTTCAATTTTTTTGTCACGTTTAATTTCGTGAACTTCCTTCATCCTTCAGGGAAGCTTCATAATATCACCTTTCAGAAGTTTCTGTGGTTTGTTAACAAAATATTTTTCAGAGTGCGTTTTTACGTCATTTATTAAGATAGATTTTTTACCACGAGGAGAATTCTTTAATGAAAGGAACGAATAATTATCAGACGTGGCAGTATCCGAAGGATGAAATCAAATTCCCCAAAAAAATTTTGAGCTGTCTGACAGCAATGACTTGATTTAAGGAAACTGATTGTTTATAATTACAGAATTGTTATCATCGTAGAACGATAAATGATAAATTATATACAAACCTTCAACAATTTGATGAACACTTTATCTGAAAGTAAAAAAATTTTAAAATCTTCAATCTTATATTACAATTGAAATTGTTTAATAGTATACAAGATTACTTAAAATCATCACTAGATCGATCAAAGATTGAAGCTTTACTTACAATATGGATACGTACAATCTACAATCTAAACAATAAAATAATATTCGCAAACAGATTGTGAGTGAACCGCAAGCGAGTCGATAGTATGAATCGAGCCTAAATATCGTTCGACGAATGATATCGACAAACTGAAGGAAAGAGAAACTTTACCAGTGTTATAAATGTGATATCGATGAATGCTGATGCTTTCAAGGATTTGATAGTGCTTGGAGGAAAAAAAAAAAAAATGAAACGATGGATTTTTCGCGGTAACGATAACGATTAAGAGAAATGGATGGATCAATTGATCGTGAGAAAGTCGCGAAAGTGTTAAGATCTGGATGTGTGAGATCGATCGTGTTGATCCTGAAAGGAGCGTGTTAGAGGGATCAGGGCTCGATACATGGTTGTAAACCGAGCCAGCGTGTACGTGTATCCGCAAAGTGGGAAGACAGTCATGTAACATTGTAAATACAGATATTTTCCATGAAATAAAATCTCGCCTGAACAGGTTCCTGCATATCCTCGTTCGCTAGATCCGTGACAAAGAAGCTTTATACACGGTGCCATGCGTCAGAATAAAATGAATATCTCTGCTCTTCTTGTCAAATTGTGGAAAATTTATTTATCATGGAGAAAATTGAGAAGAAGCTTCATTAATTGTTAAGAAAGGTATCATTTTATTTATCGAAATAAATATTTTTTTTACTAATCGACAAAATTTTATGGCTTTTTTGTTATAGAAGATAAGAAGAATATTAAAAATTATTCATAAAAATAAAAATAGCAAAATTCTATGATAAAAAAAAGTAATGTGTGCTGTACTATATGTATTATATACTTGTATATATTTTTTGAACATCATTAGATTTAAAATTTATTGAATTTTAAATGATATTAAATTTCAAGTAAAGTCCCTCTTGAACTTTCTTTGGATTTGAATTTAATTTTTATTTCAAATGATCCCACAGATATACATAGGAAAATTGCCGAGAATTTGGACTATCTGTTTTCCTCATTTTTTCCAGTAACATGGAGCTTTATCTTATATTGTAATACAATAATTTCATTTTCATTTTCATTCAACAGATAATTCTTGAGCCAATGCTAATATTCTATATTCGTGATCTTCACATCATGATCCAATTAATTGTGAGCTTCTTTCCTTCTTGAGAACGATAACTCGATATACAAGCACACGTTCATTTTATGGCAGTATGGCACGAGTAATGTATGTGGTAACGAATAAAGACAAGAAAATTAGCGGAAGCTCATTGAAAATATCGACGATTTGTCGTTCGTTATCTCTCATTTCGAATCTCATTAGGCAAACGTAACAAAGGAGAGATTAACGAATTAATCTTTCTGCAGTTTCGACTAGAGGAAATGTCTTTACACAGTCATGGAAACACATATGGTCACAGAGGTGTGTGGTTCTCCATTTTTTTGTTTTCCCTGGCAGAGAGAGAGAGCACGGATAATCCTTTTCGCGAGCGCGCTGCGAGCTCTATTTAATATTTAAAGCATGCTGGAAATGACGAACGAATGGATAGTTGCGGTCTACGTTACTGTTTCATTCATTCTCTCTCTCTTCCTCTCTTTCTTTCTCCCTCCATTTGCTTTCAGTCCACCCTTTTCTCTACCGCTTTTTCAACGTTTCTGAACGTCATTGTCGTTTGTACGATTTTCAGCGTCGAATATTCTTGAAGTATTTTCCTTCAACAAGTACCAGTACGAGAAGCTCGAAGGTCATTTCGATCACTGACTGGATGTCCGAGGTAAAAATTCAGATTTAATGACGAGTAAATTGCGGATTTTCATGCATTTACAAGAATTGCAAAGGTAATAATTACAGAATATAAATATATATAATATATTTAAAGTTGAATATTTACCATCATACACAGCAGGTAAAACAAATTTGTTTCTCTAGTTACGTTTATGAGAATTTAAAACTACGTAAAAATCCGCGGTCTATTGACGAGATTTTCTCTTCTTTAAATTTTACTTTAACAAACCTGCTTGATGTTTAAAGCAAAGATTCAAGATTTAACTATCTTTTTTTTTAATGGCTATATTTCAACTTGTGTGTTTTTTCATGTTCAAGATAAAGATTCGAGATTGCAACGTTTTAGAAGTTCTGAAACAGAGGTGCGCAACAATCGAAGAGATTAGAAATCGCTGTCTGAACGAAGAATTACGAATGGTTCTTTTTTTTATTTTTAATTCATTTCAACAAATCGACTGGATATTTAACGCAACGATCGGAAGGATTAGAAAGTCATTTAAACGACGAAATTGCCGTCTGAACGAAGAAACTGCAGATTGTTCGATGACACTACTGTCAAACTACGTGTAAAGAATGAACAGGATATCTTCTCGATTATACAGTCGGTAGATAATGTCCAGGTTGAGAGAAGAATGTACGTTCATTTTTTCCTTCTTAGATTAATCATTTCCAATATTTCCTCTTCACTTTATCGTTTCTTATTTTAAATTTACGTTTCCACGTAAATAATCATCGCAACGTTCATGCAATAATTAACTCTGACGTATTCTCTGGAAATTCGAATGGTTTTTCATATTTTCAATAGATTCTTGAAATTTTTAGAAAAAAATGAGATAGTTGGCGTGATTTTAAATCGACGTTTCTTTTATCTTGATGAACTAGATATAGTATTTGCACTATAAAAATTATTCTTATTACATTAATTAGATTCGAATAAATTAAATCTCGTATCGTATATTTAATAATTACATTAATACTGAAACGATCTTCGGACACAATTGCTTTAAAAGACACAGATATCTTCGTTGGAACTAATTGTGTTAATCTATCTATTTTTGTTATTGCTATTTAGATTACAACGATTATAAAAGACCGGTTGTTCCAGTGTTAACATACTCAAATCAATAATTTAATTTCGTATGACTGCGAAAGTTTGAAAACTTAATTACGTAAGATGCCAAGGATCGTAGCTATTGTGTAATACAAAATTCAAAACGTAAAGAACTGGAGAATAATACTCGGAGAGGATAATCGTGGAAGGCACAGGCGTCTCTGGAAGGACAGAATCTATGCGTGAACTTTCACCAAAGTAACGCGGTGTTTCTGCGTTCGTCATCGTGTTCGGAGGCTGCACACTTTCCAGCGACTTGTCCCGCTTCCTCTTCGCTGTTGTTTACTGCCTCGCCGAATGGGACAGGAATAAAGGCACGGAATAAGCCGAGGCGGCCATCGCTCGTAAGCTTTCCTCTTTACGAGGATGACTCGACCGCAGACAAGACTCTCCCGCCCTTTTCTAAACCCGTTAAAAACGAACTGAAACGCGCTTCGTCTCGCAGAAAATCACCGTCACCTCTGACACTCCTCCGTGTTTATTCGGCATCGATTCGACTTTTCGGCAAGTCAGAGCTTTCTTCTAAAACTTTTAGGGAGATCTTGTGGGAAATTTCGATTTGTCGGAAGTTGAAAATTTGAGAGTTTTGATTGAAAATTATTGGAAATTCGCCAAGAATTTTCATTCCTGGAGATTCTGTAGTACAATCTTCGAAAGTTCTTTAAAACAAGGAAGGATCATAATTATTCAGTCTCTCAATTCATGCAGGAAAGGGATAAAAAGTTTGTCAGTTCGAGGAATATCGGATATAGAATTTTTCATTTAATTCTACATCTACTTTCTCTCAATAAATACAATAAATTCGTTAGTACAATTTTATTAACTTGAAATAACTGAACGTATCACACTCATACAATCTCGTACTTGTCTATCGTGCTCGATTACGCTGATTTCAATTAAAAATACTACGTCAATACTGTCCGTTTTTCTTTTTTTTTTTTTTCTGTTTTTCTCGCCATGGAGAAAATTATATTCAGTTAGTAGAATTTTTACGTTTACTTATTCTTTTTTCTTTTGGTGTGTTGCTTAAAAAAAAAAGAAAAAATTGAAAAAGAAAAAACAAAAAGGGACAGGGTCTACGTAGGCACGTTTTATTATCAATTAGTAATCCCTCCACATTTTTTTTCTTCGTTTAAACGATCCAACGCTCAACAATACTTGTACAACACCGATGGAATTATCTCAGGACAGAATTAGAAAATTCGTGGAGTCGATGGACTTGTATAACAGTCGGTATTTATCCTCCCCTCGTCACTAACTTACAAACGATATACAAAATATATGTATAATATATATCGAAGCAACAAAACGAAACTAACGAATCATTTGCTAGTCGTTGGCTAAATATGAGAACAGTACAAATCAACGATAAAAATACAGTCACTCGAAAAACTGATCGAATCTGCTTTAATTCTTATTGAACGAGATTTGATCAATTTCTAGAATTCTCGATGTAACTTTACAATACTCGTTTCAATGAAACTTATTCTTTTAAAAGAATATGACATATTCTTTTCATTTGATTTTTTCATGAATATTTTGAGATTTCGAGACGTACTCAGAAATTGACGTTGCAATTATTATATTTTACTTTATACATGGGTATTTATAGCACAAAGCAGACGTTTTTGAAATAATTCGAATTTCCATGCGTCTTTAAGGAAATGCAAACTCGTCTGATTCTGAATACTGAGAAAACAATGATCACAGTGGATAAGCTGTGAAAACCTGAACAGACGAAATCAATTTTTTGAGTCACTGTATAACTAACCCATCTGGTTTGATCGCGTAGTCATACACCAGTGGCGTTTTTTACTATTTACAAAAGAATATAGCATCATTTTCATCTCGTCTTCGTCTCGTTTCGCTACGGTTTATCTTCGGTATGCATTTCGAGAAATTTTCCTTTTTGGCAAAAATCAGAAAGCTTTCTACCGATCAAAATTCCTTCCCTGCTCGTTCAAAGTTTAATTATTCCTTTACTATAGGCGATTTGTTATTAGCTTGGAAACTTAAAGATCGTCGATTTTTTTAATCTTAACACGGTAATTACGCCTTCGTCTTTTATATTAATAACAGTTACCCTCTGATATATCCGGCTCGTGGATAAAGTAACGTGTCCAAGTAAGAAACATTCTGAGAATCTTTAGAAATCTAGAAGATCACGTGTAACTCGCTTCCCTATTTCTAGAAGTTCTCGGTTCGCTTCCGGAAATGTTAAGGCAGAAGAATCGCTCTGAGATTCTTTACGAAATTTCCTCCGTTTTCTTTAAAAAAAAGAAAAAAGAAGGGAAAAGAAATTTCATAACTCTTCGTAAAAGAATTCTTTCGAAACACTCTCTAAAAAGAAATTCTACATTTCTTCAAGAAAGAATTTTTTGAATTGAAGAAAGAAGTACTATAATTTTCCAAAGTGGCTAGTCTAAAAAGAAATTCTAGAGTTCTTTAAAAAAAAATTCGCTAGTTTCTCACTTTTCCTTTTTCTTTTCTAGGATACTCTGAAAAACTTGTGAAGAATCAATAGGCAACCTGCGTTGGCAGCTGACGAAATGTATCGAACTGGTCGCGACGCGTGTGTCCGACCGATGCGAGGTGGAAGTAAAACCCCCCACGGTACGTCCGACTCTCTGCGACTGGACCGCAAACTACAGTTAAGCGCAAAGAGCATAAAATGAGAATCGAGAAGACGTGCGTGCAGAGTAGATCGTAAATAAAATCCTTGTCTTTCCGTGTCGACGCGTCTCAGCGGTAAACTAGAGATAGGCGAGGCCTATACGCTCAAAAGAGGACGTCGTTCCTCTTCTTCGAGGAAACAATCGAAATTACGTCGTTCTGTTGCGTGCATCACCAGCTCGAAGTCGTTCGATTCCTCGCGAGGTTGAGAACTCGTGTTCGAAACGATCTTTGGTCATACTGATCGTGCTATCTTTCTCTTACGTCAGTTCTTTTTTTCTTTAAAGAAATCGTTCATTGTATTTGGTAAAGAAGAAACGAGAATTAGGATATTTCGAGTTTGATTTTAAAATTTGGAAAAAGACGACGGAGAACATAGACCTTGATACGGATCATCTTTTTGGACATTGTTAATTATTAATACATACGACGATAGAAATTAAAAATCTCATCCAGTTCTTTATATTTGTTTGCAATTAATTATTCTCTTCTTTCTCGAATATTTTTTATCATGTCCGCGGCGTGTCTGATTATTCGAATTGGAAATCAGTCGATTCTTCGTGAAGTCACAAATTATAGTAGCTATCTTTGATCTTCTCGATGATTGTGAAATCTCTCTTATCGGTTTCCTTTTCGAACTTCGAAATCATTCAGTTATTCATAAAGCCGAAGTAACGAAATGATTTTTGATCTTCTTGATAATCTCCTTGAATTCATCTTATTTTTTCCCCCTCTCGTTTTTTAATATATCACATGAAGTTCTTCTGAAAATCTATTTCTTTATGAAGTAACAAAATTTTCGATTTTCGATCCATCAGTCGTAAAATCTTTATTATTTCTTTCTCCCTTTCTGTTTGATTACTGTGAACTTTATACTTTGTTCCCTCGTCGAATTTCTAAGTTGTTCTCTGAAATTTATTTAATAAGCATGACACGTAGAGTGGTCCTTAAAATTTCAGTAAGATAAGGAACGTTGAGAACGCAGGTGCTTAACGTGTTCATTGAAATCATTCGCTGATTATTCCCCTTGCTGTTCATCTTAATCTCGTAGATTGACTCTAATCATCAGTCTATTAATGTTCTTCGTCTTAAAATTGAAGATTTAATATTTATTACGAATATATTGACTGAAACCAGTTATATATATTGCATATGTTGTTCGAAGAGTCGTCAATCACGAAGACACAGAAACTTTGCAAACGACGAAGACAGTTTCAGCAGACATCTTTTCAATGATTAACATCCATCGTCTACTTCAGAACGAATTGTGAAAATACATCTGTTCCCAGATGTATTGAAGCTGTTCCTAATTGCTCGTCAGCCCGTACAACACTGCAATTCGATGGAAAAGCGTGGACAATCGTTGCTTGAGAACCTGGTCGACCGCGTACCGTGTCAGTACTCTCACACCACTGACGAAAACAGGAAGCAGCGGAATCAGTTGATCGTCCTGTGAAAAATATTTTTAACATCGCACTTTAGATAAGATAAGACCTCGATGTGTACAACAAGAAGTTTCAAATCAGCGACTTCAGACATTTCTTGGTGTTGCAAAATTTTTGTGAAATGACATTTCTGGTTGTGAGCCGAAAATTAATCTTCTAAAATCATTTATATTTCACTTGAAACAAATGTTTCATATATTTTATGAAATTATATGAATATTTAAAATTTAAAACATATATTATAGAACCCTGTACAATTTTGCACAGTGATGGACAAAGACAGTTTAAGAGATAAATGATAAGGAAATAAATATATATATATATATCATATTTTTAGACTAAATGTAAAATATATCTCAGAATAGGTTTCTATCAGTATGACAAAGAATATATTATTTAGAAAATAAAAATGAGATATTCACTACAACATTTAATCAGAACGTAATATTAATTATGAACTTTCTTTCGTCCACTACTATTTCTCACGAAAATACAGCTCACATCTGAAACTTTCATTCACAAAAATTCAAAAACAATTTGATTAACAATTTGTATAACTTACAGACAAAGCCAAAGTCCAGTCCAAAACCGTGCTCAACATCTCGGCCCAAGCGTTCCTGTGAGCCTCGCTATCCTTGCAGACGTTATTCTTCCTGCAAAACACGAACTCCCGCCTCGGCGATTCTTCAGTCTCCGCGTTAGAATCTTCTCCATTCTTTCTCAAGAACGGATTCGTTCTAAATCCTCGCTTACTCCGTTCATAGTCACGCAGCAACTCGTCTATGTTGTCAAAAATCTTCGGCAGATCGTCCTCCTCTTTCACCCCAACTTTCGAAGAAACACGCGAGGACATCTCGAAGTCATTCGACGACCCAGACACGGTAGATCCAGCCACGGTGGATCCAGCTCTCTTTCTCAGTTCCATCACCGATCTACATCGAATATTACCAGAGCTGAATCTCATGAATTTCTCCGAGTCGTCGATCCCGATCGGTTCGACAAATCTCAGGGAGCTCTTCCGAGTCAACAAGCAGGCATCGCTTCTTCTTCTCTCCAGTCTCGATTTTCTGAACAGGTCGACCTCGTCGTACGTCAGACCAGTGTTCGTAGATTTGATCTCCAAAACAGAAGTGCCGAACGAATCCACAGACTCTGTTCTCCTCAGCGAGCCGAACTTGTAACACAAATTGTCCCTAGCGTTGATCAGTTGCAACGACGCCGGTGTAGTCGAACTGCATTTCCCGTCTATGTATCCCTCGCTAGAGGTGCCGCCAGATCTATCCGGATACACAACTTTCTCCGTGACGGAGCCCAACCTAGAAACTGGTCTCGAGTCGTCAGTCTCTGGCTCGGACTGAGGACCGGAGTCAGTGGAATACTCCACCGCTAGGTCAGACAGTCTGAAAGGCCTCGGATCGTCTTCACACTCCGGACCAAGTTCCTCTAATCCACTTTCGTCGTCGAAGTTCGGATTGTAGTTCTCAATGTCCTCTTGATCCTCTTGATCCAGCTGATCTTCCGCATCCTCTTCCGGATCTGCTGGCAATTTCACCGGCGCTGGGGTGGCTAGAGCTCTGTCGCCGATCGGCTCTTTGCAGGTGATCTCCGGGAAATCGTCCGGCTGCGCTACCAACAGAAATATTTTCCTCTCGGAGAAACTGTCTACCCTCGTGTGCCTCCCGTCCTCGTCCAGAACCACTTCCACGTAACTTTCGCAAAGTTCCTCGAAGGTCGTTCGCAACTGTCGCAGGTACTTGACGAGTTTTCGCAGAGTGGGACTTTTGAGAAGCTCCTTGTCCTCGGGACTCGAGGTGAGGATCGTCTTCACGACTTCCAGGGTTGCTTGGGTGTTCTCTATCTCGTGGAGACAAAGCTCGAACAGCGTGATGATCTTGATCGTCCAAGCCACTCCAGCCTGTCGATAGAGATTCGCTGGTTGAGGGAGGTTCGCTACCTTCTGTACTAGGAATTTCAATCCGGGACGACAGTCGAATTTTAGGGCTGTTGCATAGGACAGGTCCAAGGCTGAGAGGAAGATGTCTATGTGATGGCTGGCTAAACAAGACAGGAAGCCTGGCGTCACTGATTTCGGCGACGTGGATGCTGCCGATTGTGGTATGACCACTGACAAGCTGCAATCGAAGTGAAGTTTCTAGAAGTGTTTTACGAAATTTGTATGTTTAACATGTTCGTTGTTTGTGATTTTATTCAAAACTGATTTCGATTTGCTATTTAAAATTAACTCCGATCTTTCGATCTACGATTTCTGAATAATAAATAGAAAGCTGAAATTTTACAAACGTTTCTAAAAATTAATATCAATATAAATCAATCGTTTATTCTGTATATCTCAATTTGCGAAAAAACTGAAGTACACGATTCAATAATTTTTCTTTCTCTTTAATTATTTTTCTTTTCTCAGCGAATGTGTTAAGAAGAACGATTAGGAAAGCTTGGTATTTGTTCAAAAATATATGTACGTACCTAGGATAGGACGAGTCAGGACCTTGCAATAGTATACTGGCGATGCAATGAAGAAGCATCTGATGGACCAGGAGGCCGACAACCAACGCTCTCAGCTGAACTCTAACGATATAAAGATCGGGATTGAGTGTGGAACCCACCGAGGGTGGATACAGAAGGAAAACGTAGGATCTGTCGTCGGATCTTCTCGAAGTATCTTCGCCGCGTTGTTCCTCCAAGAGGAACACCTGAAGAGACAAGAGTTTCCTTCAATTTCTACCCAACATCGATTCAAAATCCTTTCATCGCACGATTCTTCGTAGATCCTCGACACGAGTTTCTCTTCGTTTTTTTTCCTTTTTTTTTTTTTTTTTTTCTTTCTTAAACATTCGATGAGTTTGAACTCAATTTAGTTGCCTAATTTGAATTTCAAGGAATTTAATTTCTTTCTCTTTCCTCGTTTCGTTATGCGTATTCGACTCGAGAAGCTACAAAAGCAATCGTGCGTGATGTCTGGGAAAACTGTTGCGGATGATGATGTCGGTGATGTGGTGATGTAAGAGATGGATGTTCGCACCGTGTACCGGTGAATAATTGAAAAAGTTGATGTCGAGATACGGTGGCCTCTAGCTCGAACCTAACGTGATTCGATTAATTCAGTCAGTCAGTAAACGTGTGTGCATTCTACGAAAGCTGCAGCTTCTAGAATAGGTGTCGTATATCTCATCACGTACATATTATGTGACAGTGAAATTCTAGCCATGGACTCAAGCCATGGATTTTAATGGTGATACGCAAGACCGTGCCAGGTTAAATTTAAATGATATCTCGGCCAACGACAGGGTCCTTCTTTATTTCATTAATTATCCGTATCATCCGTATTAATCAATGTCTCTGTGAAGTTATTGGAAATTCGTACACTGCTACTCAGCATTTTGGAGCGCTGTTTTCTTCTTTAGGCAAAATAGAATTCTTCGCGCGTATTTCTGAGAAATATGAAATATTGTAATTCTTGATACGAGTGTTGAATATTCATTTTTAGACATAGTTAACTTATTCTTCTGCAAGATATGAATATTGCAATTATAAATTTCATTTTTCTCAATAGAATGCGGATTTTTGAAGTGCGAAATTGCACAAATATATCTCATCTAAATCATAAATATAATACAACTTAATGCTCGCACCTTTTGCTTTTTAGATGAAATAAATTTTTTCGCGCATTTAAACAATTTTTATACAAATAGAAGTTATAATTTCAGAGAATATCGTCACTTTTGTTCGAACTCTGCTCCAAAATTTCAAGTCGGAATATACGTCGAATTTAATACAAAATTATTCTTGTAATGAGAATTTTTCTAATGTCTAGATGATCGTAATGAAAAGGACCTCTCTCGTCGAAGAGGTTCTGCAGCCTGACTTGTGCCTTCTACCAGCGAGTGCAAACATCTAAACGAGATGATTGATGACCAATCGTGTCGTCTCAGCGTCGACAGGCATACTTCGATTTTTCCACGCCCTTTCTCCGCTGTTTACCATCGGTTTAATTTTCACCGCGCAGGCCGATGAAGGAACAAGGGTGCAATACAAAAACGCATCACAGCGAATGATAGAAGCATGTCTGTATTTTCACATATACTGCATCGAACACGTTCGAGCGGTACAAAAATACATCAAGACCACAAACGTATTGACAATACGTTGCTTTAGGTACAAGGATCTCTTTCTCTGATTTGGCACTTTCGACAAACATTCAGTTTTACGTAAAATTGCCTGATAATTTATTTATTTTTAAAAAATCTAAATCATTATTTGTTGCTTAACCTATTAAGAACCACAGTTAAGGCAACGTCTTACTTGTAAAATTTTATTCTTTAACTCGTTGGAATTACGAGAAGAAGTTCCAAGGATTCGCTTAACGTGTCTTTCATCTAGATTTTCTAATTTTGCTAAAGGTTAAAGAAATTGAATGTTGAACTTAGTAAATCATTCTTTGGTTCTTAATGGATCGAGGAACGATTTTACGTGATCGAAGGTTAATTCTGTGCCACCGTATTGCCATTTCAGCCATTCAGATGCCAGCGCAAATACACGCAAAGCGCACGAGTCGCCAGGCACGTTGATGCAAAAAGAAAAAGACATACAAGCTGAACTTCGTTTCAAAGCACACTAGATTTCTCGCTTTAGTTCATCAACTAAAAGTGCGAGAAAACCGACAAAAAGTCTCGTTATTAGTTTAAAAATTACGCCTTCGTAAATATTATATTGTTTACGTGCGCGTAACTTTCAAAAAGTTCCTTGTATTATTTTAAATGCCACACTTATATTCGTACGATATTTTATAGTGATAAAAAGGAGAAGAAAAAATGCCACGAATCGAAGTTCAACCAGGACTTATCACAACGTCGCACGAAGAGAAAGTCTTTCGTAAAGGAGCTAGATAAGGCAGAAGAAAAGCTGCGGTCGCAGTGGATCCTGAGTCGCGAAGAATCATGGCTCTCGAAAGCAGGCCTGTCGACGACGACGAGCACGTGTCACGAGTAAGTATCTCCTTCTTCTCGGTCAAAAACCAACGAACAAATCGTAATCTCTCTTCTCGAAAGTTCTCCAAAGAAAAAAAATAATTCCATTCTCAAAATATTTCATCGGTCGACAGAGGAAGAATCGATGCGATTACGTTCGTTTATCTGTTTGCTTTCTTCCTATCGTTTTCTCTTTTAACTTTTACTTTGTATTTATATTTTCTCATTGATTTCTTTTTTTTTTTTTTTTTTTTTTTTAAAANGTATTTATATTTTCTCATTGATTTTTTTTTTTTTTTTTTTTTTTTTCTTAAAATCCATGACGTGAGTTACCGTGGGCGGCTAAAGCCAATGGGGACCCGTGTTCGACGTAGTGTTAGTGTAATCGAGAGGTGTCGTGTGCTGCCTACAACCAACGGAGTAGGAGGTAGTGTGCTGGTCGATCAGTGTCGTCTCAATGGTCATCGAATCCTGGAAAGGTGTCGTCGGCAGTGACGCCGCATTCTGTCTCTTGATTGCAGACAGTACCTCGCGCAGCTGGCTCACCTGAGAGCAAGTCAGGTCAGGAGGGCACCACGTGTGACACTCTCTCACAGGCAATTTTTTTTCTCGATATATGCATTTTTTTTTTTTTTTTTTTTTTTTTTTCTTTAATTCTACGTTATATGTATAATAGATTCTCTCACACTCATTATAGCCGAATATTATAAATATACGAATAAACATTTATGTAGATATGTAGACAAATGAAAAGAATTGGTTGAAGGTGTTACTGCGATAAGGAAGTGGTCTCAGTTTCGAATAATTTTATTAATAATCAAGCGTCAAACTTATGTATTAGTTCATCGAATCATTTATAATTTGTTACTAGTTTTTATTAGTATTATTATTACGCCAATTACATTGAATTATCAAGTCATTAAAATGTACCAATATAAGTATATTGTTTTTAATAGATTTAATAATTTTTTAATAGATATCTTGTCGTGAAATATAAAATGTAAATGTACATGAATTTTACCTAATAAATTCATGTCTATAATTAACTAGTTAGAAAATATTTTTCATGCGCAAAGAGTTAAATCAGTTGATATAAATCAAATGTTAGCTTATCACGATGAAATTAGATTAACGCAATTTAAATACGAGAGCTACTTCCTTATCGTTGCAAACTGTTCGGTTCGAATAGAGAGAAGTAAGCGGCAAAGAATTTTGACAGCTAAAGGAACATCGAGTCGAGTAAGGGTTTCTCTAACTATCATCGATCCGGCTTGAGGATCGTCGAATGAACAACGCTCAGCTGACGAATCTCGGTGGCGATTGTGAGGGCACAGAGAAGCACAACAAACGTCAAACAGCCAGAGTAGTGTAATATCATCGTCGATATAACGAAAAGATATCGAAATATCGGGAGCGTGACGGAGCAACTTACCTGAGCAGCGAGCTGTCGTAGCCTCTCGGACTCTTCGATCGTCGCATCCCGTCGCGCGGCGACCTTGACCTGTGCAACGTCACCGTAAAAGGACTCGGACCTCGGCGAGAAAGCCATGGTCAACTGGTGCAGCTCTTGCAGGGAATTTGAACAAGCGCGGTAACAGGCGACACCGCAGACCTCCCATTGTTCTGGGGTGAGTAGCGGCCCGCTGCTTACCAGAACGTGCCTGCGCAGACATTGGACATCGTCGCATTGAATTACAGAAGTGTCCTGAAAATTGGACTTCCTGTACGTCCTATAAGTTCAGAAACTTTGAAAGGTCAAACAATTTCAGACGATTCAAAAAAAATTCACTCACTTTACGCAAAGAGTACTGATTAAGAATCTCTAAACATGTCTACTGATAAAGAACAGAAATGGATTGGTACTATTAAAAGAGTGGGTGATTCTCTGGCATTTGCGATGTATCAGCGTGCAATCAGCGTGTAAGGGATAGCCAACAAGGGGGTAGGGAACAAGAGGATGAATCAGACAGGGGTTTCGCTGACAGACAGCCGCAATTCACAGTCGCAACACGTCTATTATATATAGGGGATAGTCGACGTAAGGAAAAGGGGATGAGGCGATAGTGGATGGCCACCTGTTGGGTCTTGTTAGCGAAAATTTTGTGCTCCATCTGATAATCGCTTAAAATTCATACACACAGTGGACCAGATTGAAGATTTTTAGCCGTTTTATCAGAAAATTAACTTGTATTCTGTTCTAAGTATCGACTAACTTCAAAAATAATAAGAGACTCAACGTAATTATAGCTGAAATTTTAAAAATAGCGATTACATACAAAAGGATATAAAAATTCGTCAAGAAGAGGAAATTAATCGACTAATTTTGCCGTTCGTTTCAGCCTTACAGATTTCAGACCAGGATCCCGTTCGTCATTCAGTGCCAGGCTAGTTATCTTGCCCGCGAACCTGTCCCGTTTTTAAACTCCGCGCACGCCTGTACATCGATACTTCGCGATCGACCCCGGCTAGGATTGAATTACACGCGTCGATGTATGCCGTGCGTTAATATGGAGAAAACGAACGAGGAACGGAGCCAGACTGGGCCAAAGTTAAAGGAAGATAGACAGAAGAGACGGGGGCTGTCGCGATACACGCTCTCTCTCTTTCTCTCTCTCTCTCTCTCTCTCTCTCTCTCTCTCTCTCTCTCTCTTTCTCGTCGGATTTGTGTGAGTCGCTGGCACGACGCTCCGGGGGTGTCGAGTGTCGGTGACTACCTTATCCCACCGGACAGCCTGTCAAGCTTCGTTATCATCTTACACGCACGCTACGCCCGTAACGATATATCTAACCTCCGTCGATGGACATTCCAACGAACCTCCGCGTTATGATTCACCCTTTCTCTCTTGTGATCGATCCTTGCTCTTCGAGCCTACTTTTTCAGTCGAAAAACTACCTACGACTTTTCGGTCGATTCTTCCGATTATCGTAGATAATATACATATGTACAGATTAAATTATTTTTTTAATTGATTGAGGTTTGATTGATCTCGGATCTTCTTGACGCACTTCCTCTTTCCGTTTGACTCTTTCCAATCATTGAAGGTGTAAATTTGGTAATACGTAGATTTAATTGTTTTTGTAATTGCTTTTAGGCTAGGCTTTTGATTAGATCAGTTCGTGAAGATAGGATTAGGATCTTTGATCTTTCCGAAGCTCGCTCATTTGATTCCTTCAGGTGATTTAAATATTGATTTAGTAACGAAATATAGATGTAATTATCTTTCTAATTTAGCCTTAAGAGTTTCGAACTAGTATAATTTTGGTAACGATATAGATTTAATTATTTTCAAACTGTATGTAGATTTAATTATTTTTTCGATCTGGTAGAACAAATTGATTCTATTCAATTGATTAAAATTAAAATGGTTTTAGATTTTTGATCAAATTTCGATTGATTCTCATCTTTAATAGAACTTTAGTAGGTTGACGCCTTCTTTGCGACTCGATGATCTTAATTGGATAGTGAGTCACCAGCATTGTGTTGTGAAAACTTCGATTCCATCCACGTTAACACAGGATATGTATTCGATTTCAAACTTCTGAACAGTTGTTACAGATCTACTTGAATCAAAGCGGACTCACCTAATACAGGCACAGCCTAGACGAGCTATACTTTCCGTAGGTTGGACCACGCATTCCGCCATCACTAGCAACAACTGCTTCAACATCAGCGTCGTGGCTGGTAAATAGGCATCGTTTCTAACAACCTCGGGTCCTGAAATCCATTTACAAACCCAAACTATAATTTTATCCCTCTTTGTTCCAAATTGTCACGCATTTATCATTAATTCTCTCTCGAGACAGACAAAATGAAAAACGACAGCGTTAACTTTCACCCTGTTCAGTTACCTTGCAAGTGAGTTAAATAATCAACAACCAAATCCGTAGTCAATCCGCAGCACTGCTTAAAATTCGGCGCGAAATTGTCCCATCCTCTAAAGATCTTCGAGGTCCTCCTCAACCAATTCTGCACCATAGGCAAAAGCAGATGATTCACGCAGTACAGACCAAAGGTTGGCCCGGGGACGTTCAACGTGTCTCTCAGCAAATGGAACAAGGTTTCCAACGTGTGTGGTTGGTAACGTTTAGGGCAGATCATGGTAGCGCTTGCCAGGCCCTCGATCAAAATGTACCAGACTCGCAAGATCCCGCTCGGCTTGTCCATGCTTTGTAACGTAGTAATTGTATGAACATTGTCCATTAATATATCGTGCGATTTTTCAGGTATCATCTCCTGCATCGACTCAACGTGCTTGTCGAACCTGATCAGCTCGGAGTTGGGTATCGTTGGATCGACGTATTGAGGAATGGTGGAGACCTGGATTCTCTGGGCTGAATGGAAGATCGGGCAAGCCGGCATACCGTACATCGACGCAAGAATATCGCTGCAGCTCAGGAGATACTTGAGACTCTCGACGCAGAGTCTCATTTTACGGGATTCTGCGATGTCGACTTGGTCCTGGTCATCTTGGTGGCTCTCCGTGTCACCGATGCCTCGCACGTGTTTCAAAAGGCATAGAATGCAATCTAGTGCTGCATTGGCGAATACGAGGGTGTTGTCCGTGGAGAGAAAAACCCTGAAGACTTCCAAGAGTGGCGCAGACTCCACGGAATCTGAGTTGCCGACGGAAGCTACGCGTAGCGCTCCGAAAAGTGGACGCCAACCTGATCGAATCTCGGTTCTGTTGGTCTCTACGAACTCGCAGATGCAACTGACAATCTGGAAGGAATTTGTGATTTCTTTGGCGGTCGATTCAACCCTTTGACGGTGCAATTTGGAACGAGTGATTTAGAAAATAATTATTTAATATTCTTCAGAATTTATACAAGTACAACAATTTTATGGTTTTCATCTTTTATAAAAAGTAAGTACTAAAGTAAGGCATTAAATATGATAAAATTTCAATTAGATACTGTATATTTTCGAATATAAAAATATTTTGTAGTACTGCATTCAAATCTTTGTCGAGCAATAGTATGAAAAGGTTAAAGGTAAAGAATAAAGATAGAGGAAGACTCACTTGATCTTGAACGTCACTGTCGCAAAGTTCCAGGCACAATAGGTTCTCGAAAGGTTTGAAGAGAGCCTCGTTGAAGTGGAAGTGAGGTAATTCCACTTGTTCGTTCAGTAAAGCTGCCATTGAATCGTGAATACATTGTACTGCTTTTTTCGAAATGCCACGATCCTTGTGACAAGCTGCCTCCATAAAGTGTGGCCCTAGGATACTCCAAATCTAAGATATTACGAAAGAAATTCTGATAGGTTCTTATAAAATTAATAAATCCGAATTCTTTGTTTCTTAATCTTACTTGCATTTTATTAAAAGTTAAACAAAAGTCTTCGAAAATAATTTGGAAAAGTTCATATACAATATTCAAACCTTTCAAATTGAAAATAGACTTGAAAATTAAATTCAATTGAAGATTCAAGCAGTAATTTAGAATTACTAAAATATTTGGAAAAATGTGAAATCATTTAGAATTAATTTAGACAAAAGTTCATAGTTTATAAAAATTAAGAAATTCTCAGACGAGAAAGAGATTTAATTCTATCAAGAACACAGCTCTTAAATTTCTCTCACCCTCATTATATGAATCAGAGGTCTTCCGCTCTTCACACACTTTAGCATAACTTCCCCCAATCGAGCCAAAAGCAACACGTTCATTTCATTTTCTCTGGGTTTGCTTCTTCTCCACCAAAATTTCTTATTATCTTTGAACCCATCCGTAGTTTTGAATAACTGAGCCTTACTGGCTTTGCAAAGGGCAGTCAGAAATAAACACAACGCTTTAAGGTTCAATTTCAATGCAGCGTTTTCGAATAGTCTGTCGACTTGTTGAGATAGAACACAGATTATTTTCGCAGCGTAGTCAGCTGGAAGTATTCCATTAAATTGACTGTCTGCATTCGATTCTTGGATTATTTCTGGAATTGTATCTGTATTGGAGTTATGTGTATATGGACTGGATAGGAAACTGTAGACATCCACACTGAAATAATAAATTTTGTCCCAGTGATGAACATTGCTTCAGTAGATAATGGATAATTTTAGATTTAATTGATTTGTTGAGAATCAAAATTTCATATATAGTTTTACCATGTTTCTTCTTCTTCGGTGATGTTGAAATTAAGTTTCAATCTATCTTGGCTTCCCTTTGGATCTCCATTTGAACTATCTTTCTTTTCTTTCTTTTGTTGGGTTTTAGGCAACGATGGATTCTGATTCCTTCCAAAGAAATCGTGCTCCAGTTTGCTCACGTACAAGCAACACCTTTTTTCAAACAATCAGAATTAATTAATAGTCAATCGGTGTTTATAATTCTTTTTTATTAAGTATTATTTGTAGTAATAATTTATTTGATTAAGCATTATTTTATTCGAAGAAATTTAAATTGTTAATTGTCTTACGTGAAAACGTGAGGCCAACAATCGCTACCATGACTTCCAAGCTCTAAACCTTTTCCTAAAAGCACGTCCATACTCAGTGCGTGAGACGTGTGAATATTGGTTGCCCTATTTTGCAATTTCAGACGTAGAACATCCTTCGTTCTCGTAATTTTCGAGATGGACTGCTCGGTACAGGCTGCTTTCACTAATAGAGCGAAGATGGAACCACAACGATTTTGTAGACCTAAGCAATATGAAAATGAAATACTTTGTAACATTTTATAAAAATTGAAAATTATAAATTTTGCGTGACGACGTGTCAAGAGGTGATACTTACCTAATACGTTACTCAGACTTGCAGCTTTGTGAAGTCCTTCTAAAGACAAGATGACGGTATCTCTGATACCTCGTCTACCACCGTCTCTACTCAATATTCCTTTGTTATTCTGTTCCTTAGGAGGATTCAATCCTGTCGTCAACACGGTCATCATGCTTCTCCAGCAACACGTCAGTACTCTCCTCGAAAGTTTCGCTCCCGCTTCTGCTTCCGGTGTTGGTTCACTTCGAGACAGTTGAGCTTTTTCCAATCTTATGTAATCGGACAAAAGCTGCCCGCCTCTCTGACTTCCAGGAATTCCATCCACATCTTAAAAAAGTAAAATTTTTTTTTTTAATTCTAGATGCTTCCTAAAATAATGATAGTACAAAATATTTGTGCAAAATTAGTCCATAATTGTTAATGATTAAAATATTGCTAATAATATTTACTAAAGAAAACTGTTGTTAAAAATTATTTAATTACTATCACAAAATTCTTACTTATTCTATTAAAAATCTTGAGTGGTCCTAATTCGAAGACTTCTGAATGCAAAGAGTCTAGGTTTCACTTCAGATTTTTATATAAATTAAATTTACCAGTTAGCACGTTTATCAGGGCGCTGTTCTCCGTGTAGTGCGGATTGTAGCCACATTTCTCAAGCAAATTACACGCGAGGACTTGCTGGTAAAGCTCAGACAGCCAGGTTGCTGAAAGATAGACCAGAACTCCAGATCCATGTACTTCCTCCACAAATTGTTCCTGAAGAATTCAACAGAAGCTCCTTAGAAATCATCAAACTTGCAGAAAAATATTTAAATGAGTTTGAACATCGCTGATACCTCGCTAATGGGAACCTGACGATTATCTTCATGATAGTAATTAATCCTAATCAATTTCAGATTCAACAACAACGCCGCGTAAGTGGCCAAATAAATTCCATCTGCATTCATGATCGTAATCAGTGCACACGAATCCGTACTGGTGTCTGTCTGTTCCTGCATCTTTTGCTGCGTTGTGAAAACTCCTGAGAACGAGAGAATTATTTTGGATTATTACGTAATTTGGAATTTATAAGGTAAAATTATCTAATAATTAATTAAGCTTATAATTAGCAGTTAGAAGAATTATTAATATTATTAAAGTTAATATAGATTGTTACATTATTAATTAATATCTTCAAATACTTCGTGACATAAAAACTTCAAAACAATAGCCAAATCTCGCATGAAAATCTCAGTAATTTTCTAAGAAATCACAATTTAAAATTGGAGAATTACTAGAAAGTTGAATGATTTCAGAAGGCAATAGATAATACGATGTCCTAAACAAAAATATTATATTTCAGTAATCTCAGCTATAGATACTATTATCGTACCTTGACAGTATTCCGAAGCAAAGTTCTGCAAAGCTTCATCAACCTCTATATTGCTTCTAAGGCTCAACACCATGGGAATTAGGTCACTTCTCAACGTCCTGACAAATTTTCTAGCGTTGTGCCTCTCCATATCCACGTTGCATTCGTCAGCTACTTGACGACCCACGTGAAGACACTTTGGTAATTTTTCTAGTCTCAATCTCTCTCTTTCGTTCTCTATCGCATAGTCGTTGTCTTCCAGGCTATTCTCTTCTTGGACCTCGTCAGATTCGTTCTGAGGACCTTCTGTGTCCGTGGAATCGCCATCTTCTGAAGGACCATGTCCTGAAGAGTCAGAATCAGAACCTATCCCCTTTTTCATGAGCTCCAGTTGCTCTCTAAAATGAAATTATTAACGATTTTCATTGATTTTTTAAAATTACATTCTTTGAGAAATGTAATTATTCATCATTCGGAGATATTCTGATATGTTATAATTTATACAATGTTAATTTAAAACATACTATATTTGTATCGTATAATCTTTCAACGCGTGATTACTCGAGAAAGTAATTACGAAAAGAAGTTCATCGTTTGAAAATTGCGCGATGTTTGTTGATATTTTTATACTTGATGTTTTCTTTTACGAATTATTAAATTTCACAAAAATAATAAGTTCTATTTATATTACAAACACATAATGAAGATTTTTACTGACTCCAATCTAATTTTCTAGACTGATTTTAATATATTTCCAGATAACATTCTGAACGCAAAGGGTTGAAACTCACCTGTAAGTTTTTGGTAACCGTGCCATGCTTTGATAAGTCAAAGGTCCCTTGTAGTCACAGGATTCCAAGTCTTCGTATAAACTATTGATCGTGCACGTGTAGGTGTGATTAATGGCCTTCCCCTCGCATAATTCTTGAAGAGCGGATAGCATTGCAACTACGCACGACACGCTAGCGTGCAACGTACTCAAACCACCAGTTGTTGACTCCTCGATTGAATCCATAGCTCTGTATTGAAATGAATGAATGAATTAACTTAGATTACATTAGAAGAAATATATTGCACGTTGTTTGTTAGCTTAAAAGTAAAATTGCAGCGGTGCAGATCATTTATCTCTGATAGTTTAATGATGACTTACAATCTCATTAAAGCCATGTCGCTCTGAATATGACTAGATTTGTCTTCTTCCACTAATAATGGCCCAGCAAAGTCGACCATTCGACTTGGACTTCGCAGAAGCTCTTTCAACGCTTTCAAAGGTTCTAAGCGTTGCTGGGGTGGAGGGTATAGTAACATTCTGTGAAATACTGATTCTAGAACTGGACGAAGGGGACCCACACAGCCCACTAATCGAACTAATTCAGTCCCAATGCTGAAAATATAAAAATAATCAAGTCTTTTGTAAATAATAATTTTATACGTTTATACGAAATTTAATGATGCAGATCTTTGTTTACTGTGATTCGTAAATGAGTTAGGAAGCTTCTAAGTTTTCTCATGTCTAATATTATATACCTGTAAACAGTTTTAGCTTGATGACTATCAAAGCTCAAAGAAGTAGCCAAATAACCAGATCCTCTTCCAATTTCGTTTTCTTTTCCTTCCCTAGACGTGAACGTTTTATCGACTCTCGGTGTACCTAGGAAAGCTATCAACGCAGGACAGAATTTCTGCCAGAGGAAGGTAGTGAAGTGTGCGTTCGTATGGATTTTCTGCGGCAGGGAAGAGATCAAGGTATGCAAGCATTCCAGTAGAAACACCACGGTGTTTCCGTTTCTGCCATTGCTGCAATAAGATTTTCTAAAGTTTATGCGTATTCAATTAATATCAATATTTTTGTTGCATACTTTTGAGCTTCGTCCAACTTGCTGCAGATGTATTGAAGAATTGGCAAAGCCTCGTTGAAACAGGAGACACCTCTTTCCCATAAATTCTTATTCTTCTTTGCGTTCTCGTCCATTTCCTGACACTCCTCGTCTGGGAAGTACGATTTTTGATTAATTCAATGACTGCGAATTTTGAGTTATTAATAAAAAGTATCCGAAGAATAGTAATTTCCAAATATAAAATATATATAAAATATTTGAAATACCTAAAATAAAAGTATAGGTAATGATTATAAAAATTAGTAAAAGCATAGGTAAATTGTAATAATATCCAAAATACTCAAATATCTAAAACATTTAAATGTTTTGCTTAGGTTTAATTTCTTTAGCTACAGTCATAAAATCATCCGTGATTTATTAATGAATTGTTTTAATTTTCAGGAAATTCACGAGAATGTTTCAAAGGAAACAGCTCAGCAATCACGGAATTCCCAGAGAACGTTTCACTCCGGTCACGCAAGCACAAATTTATTGATCAAACTTTCGTTCAGCTCTGCGATGGAGTATCTGATAAATTCTAGAAAACGATCACGAAATTCTAACACGTGTTCTGAATGGATAATGAAAAGTGAGATTACCTAGGAACAGGCAAAAAGATCGCAAGGTTTGACTGGTTGCAGCTTGAGCGGCGGTTCTCACCGCTTGATTCCCATTTTCGAAAGCCTCGCAGCAGGTAGTGAGAATGGCAATTATTAAACGACCGTTCATTGTCCAATAAGAGGAACAGGCGACTTGTAACAGAACCTACACATTAAAATTAATTACGACATGGAATATTTTTTAATTAATTTTAATTAATTTATTTTAGCTTTTAAATAGTATCATGAGTTCATAAATCATTAATATAATAGAGAATTATTTATATTAAAATTGAGAACAAAATCTTATACAATTTAAAGTCGAATTTCTAATTTCAGTTCTTCAAATCGAAGATTAATAAATATAAATTACACACGTAATAAATTGCAACGACTAAGTGCATATTTAAGAAAATTGAAAAGAAAGTCACAAGGCAAGGAGTTAATTATTATCTTTAATTTTACTTGAAGATTATTGATTTGTTAGTATCATGAAGTATAATACAAAGTCATTTGTCAGTATCATGTGAAGTATCATGTGAAGTATAAATACAAAGTTAGACATATGGATATCCCATAATTGAATTTAGACTCACTTTTAGCATGTCCGTCTGCGTATCGTCTGACTGTGACAACATGGAACTCATCGCGTGCAACATTTGTGCGGGAAGCCAAAGAGAGTCGTCTTCTGGCTCGTAGGGTGACTGGAATCTGTCGTCCCTTAACATTTTCTGAATTCGAAAAGTTGCTCTTAGTTATAAATTACTCATTTCGAACAGACTGCGGATTTTATACAAATTTATATCTTTTTAATTAAGCACAGATTAATTTTCATTTACTAAATTTATAAGTAATTATATTATTATAATCGTAAATTTGCTATAAATGCGTAATTCCAAGAATTCCACTTTTATTATTCAGATGTACAGTTTAAATATTTAACAAAATAATTGTAGTTTCTATTTCCTATCAGTCAATATGGATGCTTATGTATATTGATTTATTAACTAATAATTTTTATAAACGTGACTAAAATTTAAATTTTGCATAAGCTTGCATAAGTGTATAAAAATCCGCAATCCAATTATGATGAATTTCAAACAAAAAAAATATTATTTATTTAAAAAACGAATTATGAAATATGTCTTAGATGGAAACGAGGAGAAGTAAAGGAATATCACGTGAAACCCTGTTTGAAAGTGTCACAGCTGGTCGCCGATATCTCACTTTATCGCGAAGTTCCTTCGCGCGGGCGGATGCGTCATTTACATGTTACACGATACAAAACTAGCACAACGTCAAGGAAAAGAAGAAACTGACGTGTAATCCTGACAGACCAAACGCGACGAATTTGCTCCTCTTCGTTTCTAATGCTAGCTGAAAGGTATGTAGACATTTTGCCCGCAGCTCGTGGGGTGGATCACGTAACAACCCCTGCTGCTTGTCCAGGAAGTCTAGAAAAAACACGTTAAAGTAATCAATAAAAAATATTTGTTTCAGAATTTTCTAAATTCTCATTTTAAATTGATGAAAAGAAGTACTTGATTAATACGAGAAATTGTAATTGGTAAGTGAATGGCGGATAAGATAATACAGAGCGTAATTATCACAAGTGTCTCTCAGCTTTAAATTGATGAAACAAGTGTCACTAGCTTGTTATAAGAATGTATTAAATTGACTCACCGCACGCTTCCTGCGCAGACTTTCGTAAATTTTGTAGTCTTGCATTGCTGGATTCTCGGACGATCTGCAGCAGGAGATCCTCCATGTCACGGTGGACTAACACGCGACTGATCGATAACGGGAGTGCCAATGCACGCTTGGCTGTACGCGCGCATCCAGGGCCGTAGAAACTGTCTCACGCGAGAGAAAGTCATATCTGTCTTGGGAAATTAAATAACCCTTGAAATCCTCAATATCTCACCTTTCGATGCTGATTTAATAATATAAATATATACAATATATATTTCTATCGAAATTCTTGATTTCTTGAACGACAAACTACAACTAATCATCACGCTTAAATTCCCTCCGTTATTATTGAAATATTCCACATTACATATATGTACCATGCGCATATGAACACTTACTACAGTTACTTTGTTACTTCATTAAGAGATCTAAATTGAGTTTCACGTTCTTTTTGTAACCTTTCTCGTTGAAAAATCAATTAAAATCGAGCTAATTTTCATCCGATTGACAGTCCATTTTGAAATTTGACGAATGATGGCGCGCTAATAGTTTCGAGTTGTCACGTGATCGAGTTCAGTCGGCTGTGCAAGATGGCGTCGGATAGTGAGAAGAAGCGCAAATCGTACGGCGAGAAATTAAGTCGTAAACCAGTGAATTTGTACAAATTAGCAGTGAATTTAATAGGTACAGGCCTCCTCGCGAACGACGAAGGCTAATTGGTGTGGTTTCCTGGTCAGCGTTATCATAAAATCATCTCGTGACAGGTTTGGCATTTGGCTTTTTCCATCGGTGGCATGTGTCGACGCTGTTCGAAAATGACCGGCATTTCTCGCATCTGTCCGAGATTGAGAGAGAAATGTCCTTCCGCACGGAAATGGTACGAGACTCGAACGATATCTGAGAAATTGACCAATTATTTGCGACGATAACCAGGTATGTTTTGTTCTTGTTTCTGTACAGGGGATGTATTACTCGTATTATAAGACGATCGCGGAGTCGAAAACGTTCATAGACGGACTGAGAAAGATCAGCCATGATAATATTTCGGAATACGGAAATGTCATTAACGCAGCTAGAAAGTATAACCTGCTACCAGAGGTATTGTATTCCGATGATGAGTTTCTATTTTTGATTATATTTTATTAACTCTGCTGCGTTCTTCTATTTGTTTTATTTTTTGCGCAGTAATTTACCAATAATAATAATTTAGTCATCTAGTGTCAGTTCAACTGGTCTCCACAATTGGATATATTTTTATTGAAATAAAATCAGAGTATTACTTTATTCCTTTATATACTTATTTCATTTAAGTTTATTTTTAGTAAAGTGAACTGAGGTCATCTGAACGACGGTCATCTGCCTCCTTATTGTAATAATTCAGTTTAATATTTATTTATTCAGTTTAATATATACTTTATTTATAAAATTTCATTTGATGTAGTATTAAATCTGTTAATTTTGGTGCTCGTGTTTTATAATGTTAATAATGTTAATACTACTGTAATCGTGTCTTTTTCTCATATATTTTCCAAAAAATATAAAATATATCAAGTTTATGCTGAAGTTCATATTCTTTTCTCTTTTCTCTTGAGATGATCTCTGATCTCTTTCAGAGATCTTGTTGTTTATCAGAATTGTGAGTTGTTAAAGATGAAAATATAGAAGTTCAAAGGCTGTAGCAGAGTTCAAAAGTTTGAAAAAATATAAAACAGAATTAATAATTTACAGTTGGTGGCTGGATATCTTTATCATTGTGCCAAGAATCTGGGGATCATATCCATAGAGCAGTGTTGGCAAGTGAGATTTATATTTGTATAAATTAGCATACAGAATCAAATAATCGTAATAATACTCTCTATAAAGACTCTGTATGTGTTAAGAATTTCAATGTATGTGTCACTTCCTATGGGAGAACTAGAAAAGAATCACTTTCAGATAGAAAGAGGAGAAGGTTTGCCACCGGTGACCAGTTGTGAGGGTCTTGGTGTTCCAGTTTATTTTTACTTAGAAATCGTTTGGGTTTTCACTATATTTACGGTGGCTATATTATTCTACTATGCCGTATTCCTTGGTAATAGCCTGAGCAGTGGAATCATAGCAGTGCTCCTCTTTTTTTATAATCATAACGAATGCACTCGTGTTCAATGGACTCCACCGCTAAGAGAGAGCTTCGCATACCCTGTACTGCTCTCTCAGATGTACATGTTGACCATGATTATCAGAGAAGGCACTATAAGGGATTCTCAGAAAGTGCCCAAAGATTTACTTCAGGTACATAACCGAACATTGGTGCAACTAAATTATTGTTCTGTATAAAATAACAAACAAACTTTATCGTTTCAGAAAATGGGCATAGCAACAGTAATTAGTTTATGTTGCTGGCAATTCTCACATTTTGTACTCACCACACAGATTATTGCCCTGTTGATATTGAAGTGGATGAAAATAATCCCCAACGATCTTTACAGATCTATCTTTAAAGTTCATGGTTGGTCAGTCTTAATAACAATGGGTATCTCAGATGGTTTCCCCTTGCTCTACTCTCTGTACTGTTACCTTCTACTCGTTAGCAATATTATACGCTTGACAGAAAAACTGACTCGTTGCATGGGCACAAAATTGCAAACGATATTCGAGATCGTTTTCACAATTGCATGTACGGTGTACTTAAAATCACTCTCCACATCGTTGTCCAAGGACAATGCGCACGTATTTGATTTACTGAAAGCAAAACTGACCGGTTATAAAGATTTTCATACGATGTTGTACACATGCTCACCTGAGTTCAGTTTTCTCCAATACAGGAGCTACGAAGTGATCATAAAAACGTTGCTTCTGCCATCTGCTATACTGGCCGGGACACTGGTGATATATTTCTGGTGCAGAAATTACAGAATTAAAGGCTACCCTAGATGTATAGAGGCAGATCTGGCTTATAATGGCCTGCAAACCGGCGCTTTCATTATCATGGCAGTTTTCATCATGAGATTAAAGCTGTTTATGAATCCACATCTCTGTATAATATCTGGCATTGTTTGCGCGAATAGATACTTAGAAAAGCTTGGATTGAAGAAGGAGATGACCAAGACTGCCATTACTCTTTTATTGATATCTGCGATGTCTTATCATGGTTTAGAGAGACTGCACGAAGAACGAAGCATTATAGGTAATTATTAAGCTAAAGAAAAATTTATTAAACCATTAAAAAGTAATTGTATGTAATTGTACATAGTTGAACATTATTTTTAAAAAATGCAAATAAAGTAAAAATGTATTAGAATTTTAATTTTGTAAAATTGTAATTGTTTTAGAATTATTTTTTGTAATTGCGATTCAATAAAATTCAATAGTGTAAATTCATCAAAAAATAATTAGAAATTAAATATAATTCTTAATGAATTAACTGTCGCAAGTTTTATAAATTATTTTACTTCTAAGGCGAGTACAGCGACATTGAGCAAGAGGAATTGTTTGAGTGGATCAAGAAGAACACACCTGAACACGCTGTGTTCGCCGGCAAGATGTCTTTAATGGCAAATTTAATGCTCTCCACAGGAAGGCCCATCGTCAATAACCCTTACTACGAGAGCAAAGAGATGAGGTGTGTTTAAGTTTGCCATTACCTGTATTGTTATATCAATCTCAATCTTTATTATTACCTGATTTATATTCCAGAGATCGGACGATGAAAGTTTACGAGATCTTCAGCAGAAAGGACGTTACATCCGTGTACTTCACTTTGAGGAATCTTCATGTTGGATACGTTGTGTTGGAGGAAGCACTGTGCTTTGGTTTCGCGAATCTGTAATGAAATATGAAAATTAATTTAACTCATTAATAGCCAGAAATTCTTTTTCAATTAATTTATATTTTATAATTCTATCAATTAATTTACATTATTTATCATTTTGAACTTTAAAAATTTATTTAATGTTATTTCCCCACTTAAACAATATTTAAAATATTTACAACGCTCTAAAAATTATTCCTTGCTCCTTAATGAGTTAACAAGTATATATTTTTAATTTTTGATATTTAAATTAAATTTATAGTTTAAATTTTAAAGTATGTTTTCTAAACTGTGTGTTTCAGACAAGCAGAATGTCAGATGATTGATTTATGGGACCTGATAGACAACGGAACTGCGAAGGCATCTGGCAAACAACCTCTATGTCCAATCCTATTTCGCGGAAACGCCTATCCGTTTAAAAGAGCCTTCGTAAATAATCGTTATGTTGTTTTGCAGCTCGATTACTCCTACTACGTCGAGCTGAAGCCCAAAACTTCCCTCAACTACCATTCCTGAAGGTGTTCCGATCAATCGACTGATCGAACTTGACAAATCGAAGATACCTCGCGCGAGACTACAGAGAATATTTTTCCCAAAAGAGAGGCAATTGTGTATAATACAAATATATATTATTTTTTAAAAGAAACATTGACTCGTCGAAGTGAGCCAAAGCAACTTTGTTAAACAGTTAAGAGTAAAATGTGAATAAAATGTTAACTACGTTTCTGCGAACTTCGCATCTTCGTTCTTCTACATTCGTGTAACAAATGTTAACTACGTTCCTGTGAATTCCGTATCATCGTTCTCCTGCGTTCCTGCATTATCCTACATCTTCGCACGCTACGCATCATTCAAAAGCAAGCAATCAGCTCCAAAATTCCATCTTTATGTAAGCTCTTGTTTTTATGTAACTCTATTTTTTTTTTTATTGCTATACATGCGTTTGACGATTGTGTTTATCTTGTACACAATTAAAAATTTGAAATGGACACATGATTAATAACGAACAAATTTCATTTTAACAATTTAAATATATAATAAACATAATTCTATGAACTTTTACAGATTCAAACAAACAAGTTCCTAATAAAAGTTTCAACACGAAAAAGTATCCTATTCACAGTGATCGCAACTATAAACTTCATGTCATAAAGACAGAATACTCCATAGTCAAAGGATTAACAATCCGATGAAACATCGTCTATAAAACACGGTATAAAGTCTTCTCTTTCTTTTTTTTTTCCTTTTTTCTTTTTAATGAAAGTTGATCGAAATTTTCACATGAAAGTTATTAGCGCGAGAATCAGGCGAGCGTTTGAATCGCGGGATCGCAAGAAGAAGAATCGAACTGCATAGCACGAGGATAGCTCCGTTACAGTCAACACACTACACTGCACCTTCACTTCGTCATGTAACAGATAGTATAGTCGGAGCGGCTGCCTTCGCTATACTACGTTGTGCTGCTGACCCAAATGAATCCTGTGACCAGTCAGTCCCGGTCCGGGCTTCCTCGCGGCGATATTGCTCGCTCTATAGCTGCTATCGCGTAAACGTGCTCCTTTTTCACGCATCAAGTCAAATGACAACTTAAACAATTTTGCTCGCTCTATCATTCACATACTTCGATGATCAGCCGGCGATCTCGCGAGGAGAAATTGGCAGTTTAATTAGAAAACCTCGGTGCCCATATTGTAACAACTGATGGCCCAGTGAAATTCTAAGGGCATGCCAAACAGTGAAAGTTTCCAGTCGATTAATACGTACGAAGGAAACACGGTGACAGATTTTTCGGATGATTCGTTTACTCAGGAAAATGTTTCATAGTGTTCGGACTTGACGTGACATCAAAAATTCATAGTACGATGTGTGTATGAATCGATTTGTTCACAATTCTGGCGGGAATTGTTTCGGTTTTAAAGTGTAACGGAGAGGAGATTGGTTTCCTGGATTGGAAGTGATCGTAGACAATTTTGTACGATCGTTAATATAGTCGTAATACGCGGTACTTGGACCAGAACGATTTGAGGCTGAGGATGCCAGAGGCAGAAGCAAAAACGTAGAAATAACGTCGCACCGGCCACGAGGATCCGATTGATCGAGATCGCGCGCATCCGCAGGTTCCGAATAGCGATGCGGTTGCATTCCACGGCGAGGATAGTTCCGCATAATCACTAACACTCTGCAGTGAGTATCGAATTTCGTCTTTATTATTATTTATTTATTTTATTCCTTTAGTTTTCGTCTCTTCAATTTCAATTCCTTCTTTCCTCGATTATTTTGATTTTAATTTTCTTTTCCCTTGACTTCCTTGATTCTAATTTTCTCTTATTTAATCTCTAATTTTAATTCTCTTTCTCTTTAAGTCTTTCAATGTTAATTTTTTTAATTTTAACTTCATCTCGCCTTAATTTTTTCTTCGTTTAAAATCTTTTTCTCTAATTTTAATTATTAGATGTAGAGAAGGACCTCTTAATATTAAGAGCTCAGGTTTAAATTCGTTTAAATTTAAGTTTTTAATTTTAATCTTTTTCTTTTCTCTTTTTTTTTTTCTTTTTTTTCGATTAATTCTGATTAACGACGGAAATGATTTGTGGAATATCAAGGACATCTCCGCCTCGCGTCCTTGCGTTAGCTTATGGACGGTGCATTAATTCGCTCAATGAGCATAACAATGTAAATGCAGTCCTCAATCGGATACGCCGACCCCAGTTACTATAATTTCGAAATTATGCTCGTTCCACGGTGAAATTCTAATTCTAATTCGGCCTTGTTGTGAAATTCTGATTCGCAGGATGTTACTGTTTTAGCCGTTTACCTCGTTCTGATTTTCGGTCCGATCGACTGCCAGTGTTTCGCGGTTTCGGTCTGCGAAACTGAAAATAATCGCGTGTAGTTCGCAAAGAGTAACAAGGAAGTAATCACATATTCGTATTAGCTGCTATTACGTAGGAGAAACATGTTTTTCTTACGGTACAATCCCACACGAATAGTGAATATCAGCCTCTAAAAATATTTCTGCAATTTTTTTTCGCTAATCCAGTGTTATTTAGAACTGGATACGTGTTCTTAAGCGATCAATTGAAGAATTTTCCGAGAAAAGAACTCGCGGGTTATATTGGCGGATTCAATATATTGCTCTGGAAGTTTAATTCTGGATTTTTTAACGAGGGAGAGATTACAAAATGAATAAAACTGTTTAAAGGATAAACTTTTTTTAGTATTAAAACAGAATGAATATAAATTTTATAATAGTACAATCAGACTAGAAAAGTGTTCATAAGTATGTGTATTACTTAATTACATCTCGTAGATTATCGCAAATTTTCCTTTTTAATCGTCATATCGAGTCCTTCTCCTTTCGAAGTTGTAAAAATCTACTAAAAATGGATTTATCACAATCCTTTTATTTCCAGTTCGTAACTTGCGACTCGTGAAATCACGCTAATAATACTCACTCAATTGTCCGTCAAAAAAAATTTTGCCTCCAACTCGTAACTCGTGACTCGTAAGATCTCGCTAACAATACTCATTTGATCGTCTCAAGAAAAAAAAAAAAAATCTACCAATCTAATCACGAGCTTGTTTCATCTCTAAATTCGCAACTTGCGACTCCTCCAATACCAATAGCATCCACTTAATTGTGGAAAAAGTCCCATAGGAGGGTTCAATAGCTGTAAAGAAGATTCCTAGTCCGTGAAATAGCCGTCGTTCTTCCCTGACCTCGAAAGCATGCGGAACATAGACAGCACGGTTGCGTTTGGCCGAATGGAATTTGGCACGCACGTTAAGTACGTACTTGCTTGTTTGCTTGTCGGTGGCTCGAGCCGTAAAAAAGAGTAGTATCGATGCACCAAGGAGCTCGAAGCCGTACAAAGACCGTCCTGAATCTTCGGAGACGGCCAGCGAAGCGGGCAAAAGCACGTTCAACGCGATAATGCGATCGTTGATGCAGACCGGCCGCGCCTAATCTTTCCCGACGATACGACAGATCAATTCTCGGTTACTTTCTCGCCGGTATTCATAACCTACTTTTCTCAACGATGCAATCACCCCGCGTACCGGTGCCAACAACCCGAATTAGAGGGGTTATCATCCGCTAAAATAATCTTGGAACTCTCGCCGCACTCTCGTAATATTCGGCCAAACTTTGAAACTCGGAACTTCGATCATATCGTTCGTTTGTATTTTTGTATTTCCTTTGGCACCGTTTGGCACGGATGTCTGCCTGAATTTGTCAGAAATAGAAACTCGCTGATTTTTCAATTCGTAATAAAACGTATGAAACTTCATTGTTGTGATATTAGCTTTGAAAATTTCCAGAAAAATATGGTTCAACAAACTTTTTATTTCATCCAAGAAATATTTAATAATCTACAAATTATTTTAAAGAAATTTATAAATGAAGGAGAGTGTTTTTATGTTTCTTTTTTTTCTTAAGATAAATAGAATTAATATTTCTCGAAGAAAACTATGATTCGTGGTTTCTTCTTTGAGAAACGTTCAATCGATAGAGAAATTCTTTGGGAACCTATTCTTCGATAATTAGAAAGTTGTCTAATTCGCTAGAATTATCTTGAACCGTTGCAACTTTGAAAGTTAATATATTTTCGTTATTCCCTGCTCATTTAACATACGATCCTTTTCATCGAAATTTTTCAACGATTATTCATCATGGACGCCGTAATTCATTCGATCGATAGAAAAATTATTTAACAATCAATTCTTTGATTTGCCAGAACTATTTTGCAGCACCTTTTTTCCGTTTCAGAAACTTTGTAAATTCCAAGAAGTTGAAATTCATCAAAAATTTCTTCAAAGACAAATTATATAATTATTCGCCGCAGTTTTAAATCACAAAGAAATTTTTTTGGGAAACGAAATTTCTAATTCCGTATAATTATCATTACAAATATGTTTTCTTCATTTGTAATTTTGTACACTTTTACATTTTTATCGTCTCTCTCAATTCCAAAAAGTTGAGCTGAGATCAACATTTCTTTAAAATCAGTTCTCCTCTTCGTCTTCTGCTTTGAATCGCCCGATCGACGGAGAAATTCACCGGGAACTTACGTTTCCACTCGAACCACTGAATTCAAAAATCCACATATGTACATACGTACGTACCGTGCACGTACTCGCATATATCGATCAAGCCATACTTCAACCTGCTCTCGTCTTACCTGGCGAAACGAAATTCCTGCTGCTGCGGGGATCGTGCATAACCATCGTGAGAATCGGTTTCAAGGTGGAGGCCAGAATCCTTTCCAAGCCCCCTCCGGAGAAGAGACAGGGACATTCCTTCCGCGAAAGATAAAGAAGCACGGAGAGACAACCACGCGTGAAAGAGTGGGCGACGGAGTTTCACATGACCGAGTTAGAGCATCCAGTTTTGCCGGGGGCATGATACTTGTGACACTAAATATCGTTTTCACGTAGGCCGGTTGATTGCTCGAAGCATAGAAGCCCTAATTGGCCAGAGGTCACAATCATGAAACATAATTTCATCCTACTAGAGGTAATTGCGGGAATTGCCGGTTCCCTTGGTTTCGCCAGCGCTTACGGTGTGATACTTTGAATTGAGAATCCCGAACGGCTACCGATTAATTATTATTACCGAACGGCCAATCAGAAACGGTCGCTCGAATTTGTGGAAGTTGAGTTTCGCGCAGGGATTTATATTTTCGTTACGAAGATATAAAACAAGCTTGGGAGCCCGTGATTCGATGAACATGCTGATTCAGACAATTTTGGTGTCTTAAAAATCGATCGCACAATTGTTCGATAGTTTAACGAAAGGAGAAACGAAAAAAAGAGTTGGTTTTCATTGTCAGAATTCAGGAAGGCGTAACAAATTTGAGAGATAATTGAAAACATTTAAACATATATGTTTATGAGATAATTCACAAATTTAAACATTTTTCTCGTAACTAAATTCGCCCTAATTTTAATTTAAAAATTGGAGTTTTCCTTTTATAATGCTCCTTTAAAGTTGATTGTGCGATTTTTTTTTTTTTTTCTTAGTTACAGCAGTTTAAAATATCGAGTGTACTTCTTGAAACCGCTGTAGATTCACATAATATTTTTATTTATTTTAACGTGAGATCAATACTTTATCATCTGATGAGTATTGCAATTAAACACTCTGTATAAATATTCTAATATTTTAATCCATTTTATTTCTTCAACGATATATAATAATAATGTATTACTTCAGTAATAATTTTTTACTCGTTTGTAAATAAATTCACCACCTGAAATACTGACATGCAATCAAGAATCAGTCCGTACAGATATATTTTGATAGGTTCTCTACTTACTTTGACGCTTACATTCATCACGTAATGTATTGACAAGCAATTAAGACTCATCCTGCAGATCTCTCTGACAAGAACTTCATTCTGTTAGAACTGGTCTCTCGATCTCTCGATCTCTCGATCTTTCGAATAGGGTCAAGCCTCGCAGACATTAGCATCTTCCTCGATGATCTCATGTGCCTTCGTTGCGACGAACGCACAACGTTTCTTTTTTTTTTTTTTTTTTCTCTGACCTTGCTCAGATGCTGTACACCTTCCAGCATTCCAGGCTAATCGAACGACACACCTCTCACCGCTGTTCCTCGTGATCTATGGATCAACAGACCGGTGAGAAACGTGTTCTTCTATCTGTGTCTGGAGTCCCGATCCACGTGATTAGGAAGCGATGGCTTTTAAATTTAATCTTCTTCTTCTTCTTTCATAGATGTTTTTAACGTTTGCAGGGAAACGTTTGAATTTTTTAGAAGGAATCCCAGGCTGTAAATTGGTCAGTTTATAAACTGGTTTTTCGGGTGGTTCTGGAGGAACGTTTGGGGAATTTTATCCGAAGAATTCGATTCTTGAGTGCTTCGGTTCTAAGTTTTTACGAAAATAGGATAGTTCTTTAAAAGTTCGGCTTACTGAAAAAAGTAAGATTTCAACTGCTGCTTTAGATAACTCTTTGAAAAGTTAAACTTTCTACCGTTTAAGTGGAATTTTAGACATTTCTTTATGCGAGATCATCATGTGAACATTCACCTTATATAAACTAGAGTCCCAACAATTTCTTTAGATTGTAGTTTTTGTTTACTTTTGAAAGTAAAATCTCAATTGCTTCTTTAAGTAATTCTTTAAATGCTAGACTTTCTAGGAAATTGCATGCTTCCCTTTAAAACTTTAATTTGGAATTTTAATTTATTTTCAGCTCACAGCAAAAGTAGAATTATAGATAATTCTTTAATAGAATTTCTTCCGTGCGATCCCTTGATTGTTCACTTTGCTAAATAGAGTTTCAAGTAGAGTTTCAATGTTTTCTTCAGATTATAGCTTTTTACAAAACTGATTCTCTAGAACGCTAGAAATTCTTCAGAACTTTCGGCGATCCTTTAAATTTAGTAGTAATATCATTCTACGAAAGAAGAATTCTTTCCTTAGGTGATTTCTTTCGTTGAGGCTGGACTAAACGAAAATTTAGCGATACCTGCCCAAATTCCTGCGAAAGTAAATCCTTTTTGTGGCAGACGCGCGGGTTTCTGTGGACTTTCTTCGGCGTAACCTACTTCCGGCAGAAACAGGCAGAAAGAATGACGTTCACATCGAGCTAAAGAGCCGAGTATAATGGAGACAAGATCTTCAAACCGGTTTCTTCGAACGACATTGTTATCAGTGGTAGGAAAATTAACCTGGTTTCCGTGACTTTTCTACTTTGAATCTAATTTCACTACGACCAAGCGCCACTTGAAACGTTACGACAGTCTCTTTGTTTTTCCTACAGATATTAAAGATATTATTCGTAGAAATATATTTTTCAGATGGTTCTTTTTTTCTTATTGAATCATACAAGCTTGTAGACTTATAAAACATTCATAAATTTGCAAAATTGTCGTAGAATTATTTCGTGAATACATTTTTTTTTAAATATTTTCCATAACATGCGATATGGACGTAATTAAATGTTCAATCTTTGAAAGAATTATAAAATATTCTCTGGCAAGTATCATGTGGCAATTTTTCCGTGCTTATCAGAAATTTTCATTTCTCTTACATAAGCAACGTTTTAAAGTTATTACCTACCTATATATATATATATATATAGTCTCCACAGCAATTTTCCGCAAGAATAACCTAAATTTCCCGGAATAACCCAACGTTAACGATCTCGTAAATATCCCGAATGGAATTGTGAGAGACGTTTCAACGTTTTTGATTAGTCGATTTTGTAACCCGGGTTCATTAATCGAATATGAAAGTGAGCAGATTCCGAACGAGGAGGAGATATTTTATCCGGGACCATTCGGAAGTGTGTTCACTGCGGATGAAAGATACACATTTATAATTTTCGATCGATGATGCACACGATAAGGACCGCGAGAAAGTAACCGAGACCGAGAGGAAAGATTTCACGAGGCGTTCGCCTGATATTCGCGTGTTTATTTCCATTCCCTGTTGGATCTTTCTTTTTTTAGAAACCTTGGCGACCCTGGTAAATCGTTTCGTTCAAGAAACTGCCTCGAACAGAACGTCGAGGAGAAATTCCCTTGTTGCGTAATTATCCTTACAACGAATTATATAAAAAAAACAAAAAGACAGAATAGACGATTTGACTATAATATTTAAAAACAGTGGTGCTGGTCGATATAACTTCGTAAAAAAAGATGCACTTGGTTTCGTTTCGACAGTCGCGAGTTCGTTCTTTTCGAAAATGATTTTACATCACGCGGCAGTTGGAAAAGTGATACATATCTTTTCTTCTTTTTCTCGAAAATTGTAAGTAACTCAAGAACGTTAAAAAATTCTTTTCGATCCGTCAGTTTGAAGATTGGGAATCAGAAAGAAAAATTAAAAGCTCCAACCTACCTAAGTAGATAGAAACTGAAAGATAAATTTCAGCGAAATTAAATAAAACTCGACGTCGAACGATTCGTTCGGAATTCGACTGGACTCGGTCCCAATGATAAATTAGACCACAGCCGCTCGCGGAATAGAAAGTTGCTGAGCGTAGTCGGGATAAACAGGCGAAAGAAGCGACCAGAGTCTGAACATATGTACGTACTTGCTTTTAGAACGGGGAAGAAAAATCACGATTCCTCCACGCGATGTCTTTCCGCTATGTTGTTCTTTCTCGCGTCTCGTTGACATTTTACGTGAAACCGACCGAAAACTTCCTTCTTCCCGCGGTAATAACTTCGTTGATTAACAATCGTTCTCGCCGTTCTCCCTCCGACACGTAGGATGTAATAATTCGACACGCGCGACGCTAATTGCGAGAGCTTTCATCGAGATTAAGGCATTGCCACTCTCACTGACGAGAACCACGTCGATGAAACGAGCAGGTTTCCTTAAAACCTGTAATTTCCCTTGCGTTTCATTCGACGAATTGAAATTAATCAATGGAACAAGGATAATCAATATACACGACGTAACTATCAATAAAGTTGGACTTGACGAACGTGAATTATTTATTAATTTACAATACGCCGAAATTTATGCAACGACATGACAATTTAGTGAAAAGAAAAAGTCGTAGCGGGTTTAATTTTGGACGTAAAGGGTTAAGTATTAATAAGGAGACTAGTCCTTAAGTGGGTCATTTCTTCTTCGCAATTTATTTACAAGGAATGATGTAATATAATTTTTAGATTAGTTAATTAAATTATATAACAATTTGTTACATAATTTATTTGTATGAATAAATAAGTTTAGGGCAATCTTAATTTGTTTTAATCTAACATTTGTTTCTTCATTTTAGAGATGCGAAGCGAGGTAGGAGAATGGCTGCCCACCTGCGTAGGTTCTCCGATATGCATCCTGCTGCTATCTTGGTCGCTCTTGATCTATCAGAATCAACCGTCCTCCGCGAAGAGGAAGATCGACGTGTTCACGGTGGCCATTCTCTCCGAGAGTTTGGTTCACCAGCTCGGATTGCTATTCTACGCCATTCTTACGCTCATTCGGCCGACTAATCACTTCGGAGGTAATGAAACAACGGAGTTACGTATCTTGCGACTCTATCATTATCGCGGGAAGAGAAAATTATAGGAGTGTCTGGAGAGAAAGCGATTTGAAGAGGCTTGAGAATAGACAGCCAACTATCTTATGCCTAGAGTGCATTCTTTCTAAATATAATAAAAGCAATTTGGAAGTAGTTGATCGACGCATTAGGAAACTTAGCGAAAGAAAAATAATTGCGGAAATATTAATGACTTTCGTAGGAAACTTATTAGATATTTAAAAGTAAAAAAAGAAGAAGAATTTTAGGGTAAAGGTATAGATAAAATTTGATTGTTCTTTTCGTAGGAAGAATTTATTTCGCTTAAAAAGGTGAAATTATTACAATTTATTAAAAATGAAATTATTAACTGAATTATTAAAATTGAAATTGTTACAAAATATTAATAACTATTAATATTATTAATTTATATCGTAAATGAGCAGTCTTTTTGTATTTTCTATATAAATTTAACTTAATTAAGACTAAATGTATTATAGTTCAATTTTCTAAACGAAACATAGTTTAATTTTTGTCAATTATCAATATCAATATTGGATATCTGATGATTTATTTTTAAATTAAAGTAAAGTTAATCAAAGTACAAGAAATTATTGGGCAATTGAATGTGTTCATATTTGGTACGCTTGATTTTAAATTTGTTTTCACAAGATGTTACAAATTAAAATATGAAATCAATTTTGCCAAATATAGATTCATTCGTTTAATTAACTAATGATTTCTCGTCCCTCAATTGATCCATTTATGTAATACAATTATAAAATATAAATTAATTAATTCATTGAAACCCTATCACATTGTATAAAACTAAATGATTATTCGCAATTTTATTTCACAGAATTCTGCTCGACCCTAGTCTGGATGCTAAACTCTTCCAGCATCCTGCAAGAACTGACCCTAACCTCGATCGCGATTTTCACCGCGATCAGCGTCGGAGAAGAAGCACTAAACCTCACGAAGAATCATCTGAAGTATCATCTGGTCAGTTTGAGCGTGATCAGTGCCTGCGTCGGTGTCACCGGTGTCCTCAACTTCGAACCAGATCTATGCGTTTTTCTCGCCCAGGAGATCTCTCTGAAGTACGGAGTCTTCGTGAATTCTCTGCGATGTCTGCTGGTAGCAGCGACCGTGATCAGTCTGTCGATGGCTTTGATCAGGAGCGTGTGTCGTACGCCGAAAGCCGAGCTGCTGAAATCAGTGTCGGATCTGTCGGAGACCAGTTCGAAGAACTCGTCAGGAGCGTTTGAATGCCATCCTCAACATTGGGATCCCTCGAGCGGGTCGTGCACCAGTGGATCCACTAACAGCAGAGCTTGTTTGCGAAAAAAGAGAGTCCAGATTGACGAAGCTAGCGGCAGGTCAACGATCTATAGCATTCTCTTCGTGTGCTATTTCTTCCAGTATCTACCGATTTTAGTAAGTATCTATTTGGTCTCTTATGTTTCTATTCCTTTTTATTATTTCTGTTGTGATTGAGAGCGTGGTCATTTCTTGGTCATTTTAAACGCAATTGTATTTTTTTTTTTTTTTTTTTTTAAGTTGAAAAGAGAATAGTGAAAGATGAGAAAGTGCAAAAGCTTACAAAAAGCGATAAGCTTACACTGCTAACACTGCTAAATCTTAGCACTGTTTGACGATTTGATTTATTGTTCGATTTATTACTTCATCAATCAACGATGATATCACGAGCCAGATTATTGACTATAACGGGCGTATTTCGTAATATTGCAAACATGCAACGAACCGTGACAGTGTTACACAGGACTAAAATCGACGGATCTAATTTATTTCCAATTATCTTTCACGCGCAATTAGAAATCTACTTGCGGTTACACGAATTGATCGTTAATTCGATTCGTTCGTTAAATCAGCTTAAAAAATTGCTATCCAGTTAGAAAGATAGTTTTGTAACGATTCGACATTCGAACATATTCTTAATTTTCAATATTAAAAATTAATCAGGATAGAAATATTCGATGTTTTAAATTGTAGAAATATATTTTTAAAGCGGTGTTACAAGGGTACCCTTGAAAACCGGAAGCTAGCTCTTCCCATCCTCCGGAAGTGAACGAATCACACTGTTTTATTCTTTTTCTTTCGCACCGGAATTCCGTCCATCAATGAGAAAGTTAGCACTCCAAAAAGGGAGACAAACAAACAACCGATACTTTCCTTTTACATTGAATGCATATATGATTCTTTGTCGAATGGTATTCGAAATTATTCACAGCATTCAAAGGGAACAAGAATATGTAAATAGGTATTCCCTGCAGTCGAATATTATTTTGTTAATTCTGAATTTACAATTATAATTGCAGTTGCAAGTGAAAAAATTCTGTCGATTGAAATTAAAAATGAAAGTTTACTGCGAGAAGTGTAAGGATAAAAGGGCGCGAGATTAAAAATCCTAGAAAATAAATTCAAACGCGGTCGCTTTTACTCCGAAAAAAAACTGCACTCAGTTCTGCTCTTCGTTCTTTAAAACTGGAGAAAATTTCTTTAATATATTCATAAAATCGAGAAAGAATCTCTTTCTACTATCACTCTCTCAAAAAAAAAAAAAAAGAGATCGGTAAAAGTAAAAAGCAGTAATAACACGCTATGTAAAGCGATAAAAAGAATGAATTTAATAAAGCAGAATAAGGACACGAGTTAATAAAAAAGTTAATAAAATTAATAATATTAAAAGCGCGTTTAAACGAGAATTAATAAAGAAATTCCAGCATTAAAATGCAATGCACGAACGCGAGGAGTAACATTATACACGACTGATACCGTATGCATATGTATATATATACATATATATATATATATATATATATATATTGGAAAGTGTGAGCTAATATGGATTACGACCTCGATATCAAACTCGATTAAGATTCGTTGGATGACAAGCTCGTCGCCAGAGAAACTTCCCCCTGACCTTCCTCATTAATATTTATAATCACTCGTGTGACGTATCCCGTTCATTATCATCGCGATTAATGCTGAATTAGGTTGCTGCGATCCACGCGTTGAAATCACCGTCGTTCGTAGCACTCCTCATCGCTTCTGCTTCAAAAAAATTCTTTCCGTTCAAAAAATTGAAGAAATTCTTTCAAACGTATTCATAATGCATCTCTGATGTATCATAATAAGAGTATAAATCTTTGAAATCTTTATGAATTTTATACTTTGAAATGAAATCGGATTATAAACTCTCGCGAATCAAAAATTCTGGCATTACCTTGAATTTAAATACTATAAACGCAATTTTCTGCAAACTAACGCGTTCATCAGGGATGTAATTTGAAGGATTTTATTATTAGACTGCGGATTTTTATGGAAATTCATATTTTTGCGAAGATAATTTAAAGAATAGAACCTAGCTAGAGATTTATTCACTTGTTACAGACACTGTGTTTTAAATATTTTATATATTTACGTGTATTACGCGTATCTTATGAATTTTGGTATCTTGGAATCTTAATCTTTCAGATGCAAAGAATTTTTTTCTAATAGAAAAATAGAACGTTCCATTTTAAACATCTTTCGTAACCTCATTTTCGAGGTCTCACTACCGCTAATGATTCCTCGTTAATTGCGTTAAGTTGTAGTAATTGATTTCTACTAACGAACATTTACCCCAGTTCCAATTTTACTTTTCTCATTAACTTTTACGATTTAACTTATCTCATAAAATGATTTTATAGAATCATGTTTAATGCCGAGTGCATAAATTACATTAAGTTCGATTAATTATATTATGAAAAGATTTTTTTTTTTAATTCCTTTCTCTACAATACAAATACAATACATAAAAGTTCATGTCGTTAAATTTTTTTCAGCAAAAAGCTCTACATTAAATTGTAAGTTAAATTTATTAATTCCCGTTGTTAGTGAGATAAAATATTATTATGAAGTTCGAATAAATCTGATTTTTAATAGAGTTTGTTAAATTTACTTAATAACTTTTCAGAGTAAAGAGTTCAAGAAGTTTATTAATATTTAGGATATTATAATTAACAAAATATTTAATATAGAACTTTCATATAGAATTTCAGAATTTTATTTTGCTATAATTATTAATTTCGTTAATTGTAATTATTAATTATCTTTTAATTTCCTGTGATTTATTAATATATTCTAACGTTAGAAATCGCAATAGCACAAATCGATTCAGCGTGAAATCGATCGCATTTCGATCTCGGAATTCCGCACGTTTCTCCAAAACGAACGTGAAAAGGATTCTAAGCGCATCGATCAGGAAATACTCGTTTCCACGATGACTCGGAAGCATAAGCGATTACCTGGCGACACTGGCACAGAATAAATCCAACGTTCAGACGTTCGATGGCTTTTTGCTTGTGTTGCACTTTCCTTTCGACACCTCGTGCAAAGCAAATCGCTGTCAATCGAGTTGACCTCGATCGAACGAGAAAATCGAATTCTAGGTGACTCGAACATCGTAACACTCCTACAAACAATCGAAAAGCAAAGTGCGCTGTCGTTCATAAATATCTGATCACTCTGGATCGATTTTTAATAGTGGGACACGAATTTTATCACAGTATTACACTCACAAATGTGTTGTATTATATGTGCTATTGTGTATTTGAACAATTAAGAGTAGAAAACTTTGAAAATATCACCTAGAATGTAATCTCCTAGCTGTTTTGTAATTCACAAGATCCACCTCTGCAACTTAGCTTGTTTTAAAAGTCAACTTGTCGTTATGCAAGTGAATTTATTAACACCCCGACTTGCTAACAACATTGGCTCGATGTAGTGCAAAAGAGCCGTTGAAAAATACGCTTTATATAATTTAATTGACTGTAGAATGTAGAGCATAGCAATTAAAAAGAAAAAGAAAAAAAATTCCGGTTGGTACCTAAACCAACATCTAAATTACCTAAACTATACTGTATAGTTATCTATATGTTACAAATTATCTGAACTCTACTATAATATATCTAAATTAACAAATATTTAACTCCAAATTAATTAACAGGTAAAATTCGCCGTGCTTTTTACAAAATATTCGAAACATCTAAGAAAGAAATTCCAATAGAGAGAGAGAGAGAGAGAGAGAGAGAGAGAGAGAGAGAGAGAGAGAGAGAGAGAGAGAGAGAGAGCTAGAGAGAGACGATCGAAAGCTTGTTCTCGAAAGCACGTCTCTGGTCTTCTCAATCTCCATTTACCCGGCAATTATGCCAACCACGCAATCTCCAGCAACAGATTTTCTGCTCCGAATCTTTCGAAAAATGCACTCGGTGGTGCACGCGGTGTATATTTTAACGCGTAGCTAGCGTTGTTGCTACAAAAGCGAATCGGTTCTCTAAGTGATTCCAGAATAAGGGGCGCGTCGTATACGTTTCTCCTCTTTGCCTTTTATCTCGCAATTATTACTCTGTCTTTGTCCACGAACAATCGCGAGTTTCTCCAATCAATCTCGATGACGACTCGCGTTAAATCCCAAACGAACTCGCAAGCATTTCACACTATCGTTTAAAAATACGTTTCATGATGGACGAAAGAAAGTTTAGACTTTGCGTATGAAAGACATAATAATTATTATATTATTGTATAAATAATTGTGTGCGTGAAGACATTGATATTTGAAAGTATTCTATACTATATGAAACATGTTACAATATTATATTACATTATTGTACAGAGAATATTCTGACAGCAACCATAGAAGCATTTTTATGCGCGTTGCATAAAATATTTTGAAATTTTATTTTACAGTGTAACCAGGAACGATTGTTGTAATTACGCTGATAAAATTTGTGTTCGAAAATTATAAAATATTTATTGAAAGCATGTATCTACTGGAAGATTAATATGCCGATCACTCTTGACAGAAAGTGGACAGAATCATCATATTTGATCACAGAATCTCAAATATAATGATTCATTCTGTATAATCACAGGACATTGCTGTTTGTAGGGAATGAAAGAAAAAAATCAAATATTGGAAGTAGAGTACTTGTAACATTTAGTTGCGTGAACGAATTAGACTTAATTACGCTCGTCGAAATATGAAATTACCTGAACGTCCGGAGGCTAATTTATTAATTATCAGTTCTACAAAAGAAGAAAACTCCCTACTTTTTCGAATTATCCAAGTGAAAGTTTGTGTAGAAACTTGTGTAGAAACTGCAAACGAAACGGGGGGATCTTCGTTTTCCTGAAAGTACCGCAAAAACCAACCCAATTTTATTTTCCTCGCCTCGCGGCAAGATCACGCGAAGGAAATCTTCGGAGTGAAATTCGGAATTCAACTGCGATACATTGTCCGTGAAACGGTTTCACGGTGTTAATAGAACGATATTTCGAGGTTTCCCTTTCCACGGGAGAGCTACTTTCAATAGAAGTGCACACGCCCCTGTCTATCTAATTAAGGCACTCTAGTTTCGATTTCATATCAGTCATTACGCGCGTGGTTGCTGGACAGAATTAAAATCACGGTGGTCACGCGGTTTCGCCACTCTTTTGCTGTCTCTGGCGTGATCAAATTACTGAATCTACGTGCTTGAATTTGTCGAGAGACACTTTCATGGATATAATTTTCTTTTTTTTTTTTTTTTTCTAGAAATATTAACATAAATGATAATATTGTAATATTTTATTTCATAACAACGCGCGCCGTTTTGTTATTTTTCTAAACTGTCTTAATATTTGGTCAATTTTCAACGAACACACACTCGAATAAAATAGTGTTTGTAGTAATGTATATTTACCAAATTTATAAAAGATGTGTACGTGTATTTCAGAAGCTTTGCACTCATACATATCATATATATTATTCTATACAACTGTAACTGTGAACACACGTATCATACGATGTATACATATATATTCGGTATAAATAGATGCTTTAAAATATGTACGTATATAGTACATAGTTCACATGGTGACGTACATTCAAATCACAACGTATGAGCACGAATCATATGCATATATGTATAATGTAATATGAATGTTTATAGTTTGTACATATAACATGATATTAATGTCTTCTTCCATATTCATATAAGTGTATATATGAATATATGTACACATGTAGAGTTTCATCGCGTATTTCAAAGCATTTATATATATTGAATATTTAAAAGATATAGCTGAATTCATATTGAATACAAACGTACATATGAATATTATATATTGTAAAGAATGCAAAGCTTCGAATCTCTTAGAAGATTAATTTCTCCTACTCCACGAATCGAAAATGTGATCCGAAACTAACAAGTAGCACCAATGATAGTTGCAACAATGAGAATGCTCGAGCATTCGAGCCGAACCGATTGTGAGCTGAAGCTTCGTTTCGCGTTAACGTTCGAGTCGGAGGGTTCACGGCTGAATAAAACAGCACGTACGACCCTCCCGTGGTGTTCGACGAGAGCACATACGTATGTACATATATATATATATATATCGGCAGACAGCCAGTGGAAAAAGCGCGCAAGAAATCGTGGCCAATTACGCAACAATGAAAGTTCATAGTCGTATTTCGTATCTCTCGGCCAGTGCAGAAGTTAATGACAGGATCGACGCAAGAAAAGGTTTCTAGCCGCTTGGGAAATCGCCGAGCGGCTCTAGGCTGGATTTACATGGAATTATATGCGCGAAATGAAACACACGTGGCCGCCAATGCACGCGCGTGCAGTCGCTAATTTTACGGATCTCGGTTGACGAAACGAAAAATAATAAGAACACGTTGGAAACAGTTCGGAGAGCTGTTTTAAATTGTCGAAACTGTCTTTTATGCGCACAGTGAGAAGCGTCACTGTGTACACATAACATGATACTTTAAACTACCATAACTTTAGCGAAAAGGGATCATGCACTGATCTATTTGATCGTTGGTTTCAAAACGTGGAAACATTCTACAGAGTGAGCCAGAAATCACTTCCTACTAAAATAAATCCGTAATTTTTAATTTAATTTAATTTAAAATTAATGAAATTCTGTAGCATCTGTATAGTGAATGGATAAGCTTGGTGGTTTCAACAATTGTGTAATATAAAAATTGCTTCGCGAGTTGATAGGTTTTTTACAAAACAAATATCACAAGATTACAGGGTAATTCCATGTTTAGTTAATTTTTTATCATTTTAAGAATCGATACGCTTGACATAAGACATAATCGCAGTTCAAAAAAGAGAAGAAACACTGTTTCGTAGAAACATTTTGTAACATCCGTTAACAATCCGAATTATCAGTAAAACCAGTCGAAGCTGTACTCCGAATCCTCTTCTCGAACTCTGTCTCTCCTTCGCTATTACGCGCCGAATGTGTATCGAACGCGCACTTATTCACACGCGGTGCACGCAACGACGAAAAGAAAAAACAAGAACCGCGCTTTTGAAAGCGCGACCGAGCGCGATTTTCACTGGGAGATTTTCCGCTCGCGGCCGATTAAAATCGAAAGTGTATCATAACGCGCCACGAAACACACGTAAGACCGCGCGTTTCGACGTTTCCCTCGTTATGTCTTTTTTCTTCGCGCCCTCTGCTCGGTTCCTTGCTCATTTTTCGTCGCTACATTAACGGTAGAATTACTAGCGATTAGAATTACGAAACTCGTATCGGAGAAATTTTTGTTTGCAGTTGCTCGCGGGAGTGTCCGAACAGTTCTAGAAACTTTTCATATTTTTATATTATTGTTAGCGTTGTGTGAAACGTTTCGAGGTACGTTTCATTAACGTAGTGTATTTCATAAAAATTTATATAAAATTTCCATAAAAAAAAGAAAAATCAGAGATAAGTCATTTGGAACGTTTCAGTATTGATTGTAAAAGCGTACGCGTTGAGCAATTACCCGCATTCAATCGCATTCCGTCGCTTCTGACACGATTTTTCCGAGAAATTCTTGTCAACCGAAGGGATGGAATATCTTTTCACGTCCCAGGGAAATTCTGGAGAAATCCTGAAGATTTTATGATCGAACGGAGAAATGGAAGCTTTGAGGAAGAATTGAAGATAATGTAACAGGGTCGAATATGCATATGTATATAAAAGATCATAAAGTTTTCGAAAGTGGGAGATCCATGCTTTAAAATAAGTTATCATTCACTCATTTATTTTCAATAATTTTCCAATCGAAAGTTTAATGATCTTTTAATCTACTTAAAATTCCAACACTGGTCAAAGACCAAGTATTATCTTCTTTTTGCTTTCTTTTGACAAAACATCATACATCCCGTTTGTTTGCACATTTCTGCAAACAGCAAACAGACTGGAACACCCGTTAGAGAAACGCAAAAGACGCGCAGAGAAAATCGACAGTCTCCAAACAGGTGGAACAGCTTGGTGATTTGGAGGCAGATTGAAAACTTCCGAGGGTTTTGAATATTTATACTTGTTCGTGTTTGCTGAGGCTACGACTCAAGCAACGAGGGAAACTCTGGATTTCAAAAGTCGGGAAATCCGGTGTAAAAGAGGGAAGAAATCGGGAAAGAGAAACAAACGATGGGGAATAATGGTGCGTGGTAATTGCAGAAAATAATTTTCTGTTCCTTTTTGCAGGTCATATCCATCAAGCCGGGTCTCTTAAGGGATTTCTGCACGCCCCAGAATCTGGCGACTTGGCTGCCTCTGGTGAAGGACACCCTGCTGCCGGTGTTTTTGGCGTTGTTCGACAAAATGTTCTGTCGCTACGTGGCAAAAGTGTACACGAAACAGGATCACGCGAGGAGATTGTCTCACGGTAGGTGGTTCTGCGGAATACATGTACGGAAATCAATCAGGATACTTGTGATTTGACGATGGAAACTGTTGCTACAAGAGTTTTATAAAAGAACAGGGAACTTAATTAAAAAAAAATACGAAAATTCAAAACCTAATATAAAAAGAAATGTAAAAATTCGTCGTCAAGTAATCTCCTATTTTCTACTGTATGAAAATTAACAAATATATTCTTGTAGGGTAACCTAATGCCTATAGATTTTGTTGCTTTTAAAGAATCCCGCGTTAAAATACGATTATTAGATTCGGCCTTATATTATAGATATTTCCTCGAGGGATGGTTTGGATCGATTGCAGAATGAAAAATGCAACGCAGTTGACCCAGAGTGCACGCGTGGGAACCAAGTTGCATCGAACGCGTAATCGTCAAGGAGAAATATCAGTTACGCGACAGTCGATCATCTCGCAATCCTGCTAACCGCATACCGCGCGGTTAATTTCTCTCTTACTCGCGCCATTTATTCGTATTTTCATTCCTCCCTCTCTCTCTCTATAAAACAACACTCCAATCATCTCTCGATGATCGATCGTTCCGATATTTTTGTGATTGTGAAACGAAAGAACAACAATTCTTCCTTGGCTTCTTTTTACGCGTATAAGTACTTCTGTTTCTCTTTCTTCTTTTCACGTGCAATAACGTGATAAAATGAAAACACAGAGTGCAACATCGGATATAATCTTTTAGAATATGATTTTACAATTTATTTTGTGAAATATAATTCAGAGTATAATTTTAGTTCTTTTATTCTATAAATAAGATTTCATTCCATAAATTAGATTTTAAAATATTATATCATATTAAGTGTAATAAATAGATTAATAATTATTACATTACGAATTAATTAATATTCATTAATTTAAAATTTTTTTCATTATTGCATGTCTGGTTTATAATGCAATTAATTACATCAATAGTCGATGGATTTTTTGCCATGTGAAATATGATTCGTTTCTTCAGTTTTTAAACAATCGTCCTACTTGCTCTGAGATTTTCGAGCAGGTGTGTGCACCTGTATGTACATATGCCTGTGAAATGATTTATCGTCCGCGAGAAGGTAACAAAGCCCGGGTTTTCACTGTGCGTTTTCATTTCGCGGCTCGCTAATAGATCGCGAAGCGAGCGAGTATTTTCGCAACCGGGGAGAAATTGCGGCGGCCCTGTTTCTAGACGATTTCACGAAAAAATCTCACCTTGTTACGCGCTTTTTCAGGCGGCATCGACGGCAAGTTTCGCCATTTCGAGCATGACGCCGAGTACAAACTGCAGTTGAACCTGAACCACGGGCTCAAATTCCCCTTGACTAACGGAAGCCTCTACGGCCGGTTGCACAATCATCAGAACAGAGGCAAGTATATACATATATTTACAATGTAAAACGTGCACCAATTTTCCGACACGCTTCCTCGGCTACTTCAAATTTGTTGCTTCTTCTCTCTCTCTCTCTTTCTTTGTTTCTGTTTCTCTTAGAGATTTATGTAGAATTCCCTCACACGCTGACATTTACGTTTGTTACCCATTGGCACGCTCTGCGTTCAGTTACGCAGCGATTTGTTACCGCTGGACTACGGATTTTTATGCATTTATGAGAAACTGGAAGTTGCGCACGACGTATGGAATACGCGAAAGTGTATAAAATATGTGTAACGTGAAGCATTTAGCAAATAGAACAAGTTTCTACATGAGTTCTCTGTTTCTTTAAAAGCTTTTAAACGCATGAAAATCTACAGTCTGATATAATATATTATAATTATTACGAATTTAATCAAATCAAACAACAAATCTTGGTCTTTATTAAAAAGTCCCTGAATCTTCCAACACGGCGATTTCGTCTAAACTTGAAAAGATCTACCGGTTAAATCTTCCTCGATGGCTTCTTATCCACGGATTCTCTAAGGGGGTCATTTCGTTGGATACTCGAACAAGTAGCTCCCAGTAGGCTACTATCTCTCGACTCGGAACACGCTCTGAATTTTTGATCTGGAGGCATCGCGCGACCCGGTTAACACGCGTTAGGAATTTCGTGAGACGATAATCTTTCGCCGATAGAAAGTGCCGTTTCCTCACGAACGATAGCACAAATACCATGAATTATTGACCACCGTGCAAGTGGAAGTCGATACTCTCGTCGAATTTCAATTTACAAATTTTACACTTTAATCGTCACAGTTCAGAAGGAAAGTTCTTAACTCGGCCATTAACTGAAACAAGAAAATTTACTGACAAAGGTTTCAAAGGAGCTAAAAAAAATAATCGATGTTCTTCAACATTAATTCTTTCATTCTTTTTTAGCTGATGAACGTATAACATGAATTGAACGTTAAAATCGTACATGTATAATTAGACATTAGATTTTTTTTCTTAATTTTATTACACGAAAACACATTCTTGGAAGAATGTGAGAAATAAATTTTTTATTTTCAACGCTAGAACTGTAACTATTTCATGCAGTTCAATATCTGCGTTCTATATTATATCATAAATTTTTCCCTGTTCCTTGCATTTTTATTCCTCTATTACAAATTATATACTTTAATCGTCATCACAGTTCAGAAAGAAAGTTCTTAACTCAGCCATTAACTGAAACAAGAAAATTTACTGACAAAGGTTTCGAAAGAGCTAAAAAAAATAAATAATTATCATGTTGCAGGCAAAACTGGTACGATAACGATGGGGATACAGCACTACCCGAGAACACAATCGCTCAACGAAGACAATAATTACGCTTCTCTTCCCGCAGAACTCTCTTCTTTCACCAGCTCGACCTTCGAACCACATCACGAGACGAACGTCGTCGATGCAACGAGAAAGAACACCGTGGATCAACAAAAGAAATGTCCAAGACCAAACGAAAGTTTCCTGGAGTTGCCTGGAAGTCGTCGGAAAATCGGCAGCACCGACGTCTTTGGTCAGAATATGGAGAATCTGGTCCAACTGGACGACCCTTGTAGCAAACGGAAGTTCACAAAAAGTTTAGACGAGATCCGTGAAGAACCTCCGAGGAGGCACGCGAGAAGCGCGCTTGGATTGGAGAATCTAATTATTGGTTTGGATAACAATCTCCAAGAAGAGCCACGCTGCCCTAGAATCGCTCTGAGGAGAAATCAGAGCTTCGATCATGCTAGATGCCAATCGTAAAGATTATATACATATACATATATTGATTTTGTTGAAACTCGTATCGTTAAACGCCTTTTGCACGATGTTTTATATCAGCGAAATTTTGCAAGTTACAAAAGTTACTAATATTGATTCTCAAATACGACACTATAGATGACTATAACAATTTATGCTAGATTATTAAGATTTTGGTTATTAAATTAAATTAAAATTAGTAATAAAATTGGATCAAATTAAAAATTCCAAAATTAAATAACATAAAAATACAACGATACTAAATTATAATAAATTCTTGCATTAGAATAATAAGTTTATATAATAAGTAATAACTTATACAACTAATAACTAATACTTGCTAAATTGTACAAGAAGGTGCAAGTAAGAATCTTGTATGCACTTTTTATGATATTTTATAATATTTCAGGTATCATCGACCAGCATTGGACTCGAGGACATACGACTTGAAAAAGCAAGATCAGAAGAAAGAGCAACAAAGTATCCAGAGACAAGAGACTCAGGAGGAAGGCGATGGCTATGAGACTTCTGACGACGAGAGCTGCGACTTGGAGAACGAAGATTTCGACACAATGAGCTCCTACAGGAGCAGAAGTAGAAGCTGTTGCTCCGTAACTACAGTGGCTAACGACGATTTCGAATACTTCCAACGTAAGGGAACTAAGGTAACATTCCCAACACCCATTTCATATCATCGCCAGATTTTTTATTCGAGCAAATTGAGGTACATTTCGCAACGAAAATTTGCTGGAATAAACATTTTCATTCGACACTAGGACTATCATCGATTAAAACACAAAATTTTATTTCACAACTATAAAAAATTATAATTTGGTCATTTTGACCACTTCTAGGTAGTTAAAAAATAAAACTATTTTAAAGAAATATGATGTAATTTAAAATTAAGCCATTTTTTAAGAAAGAGAATATATACATAATTCCATAGATAAAAATTCCTATTATTGAATATATTATAAACATACCCATACGCAGTAATGAAGAAAGTTTTGCGCGAAGATCATTGGAATTACTTCATCAAACACATTCGAATTGGCCTTTCGTCGATTGCATAACAAAGGATCGTGAGAACGTGCTGGTTTTGCAGGTGGAACTGCTGCCCTCGAAGAGAGCCAACGAGGTAAAGGTCAGCATGCGATCTTTCACGCCGAGGATCATCGAGAACAAGACGGAAGAGAGGAGGAGCAATCCTGTGGACACGAAGCCCAGCATACAGTCGTATCACTTGAAGAAAACGAGAATAGGTCCCGGCTACTCGATGAACGATCTCGACAAACTGACGATCGAACGAAAGATGCCGAATCTATCGATCGAGAGCCTGAAGAGCACGCTGAAGAACTCGGACGTCAGCTATTTGGACAATGGGGACATTTGCAGACACGACATTGGCGGATCTGCACCTGATTTCAAGAAAATCTTCGTTACTGAATTTATATGAAATTTCCAAAGGTAGAATTCGTATTTGAGATTTTATTAGAGTCGGAGAATCTTCATTTTCTAAGATTTTAAATCATTTCTTTTTTTTTTTTTTTCTTGATAGAATTTGACTGATTCGAGGATTCAAAAATATTAATTTAGATACTTCTACAAAGGTATTAATTTTCGAACTGATTGAAAATGCCAATTTTAAGTTGAGAATTTATTATTTCCTAAGAAATTTAGATTTCTGGGCTTAAAATTCGCATTTTATAATTTTCTGTTGGTTTAATATACCATTTTTTTGACATAATTAAAAAATACCAATTTTAAAGTCAGAACAAATTAGCTATGAACGAAGTCAGTATAATTCAATTTTTGAGCTTGAATTTAATCGTACGAATACTACAAGTAAGATACAAAAATGAATACAAAAATAAGATACAAAAATCAAAAATTTAGAATGAAGTCAGTATCAATGAAGATAATAACAAGCTTTAAAATGAAGTCATTATCAAAAAGAAAAAAATATTGGCTAGTAAAATATTTAGTCGATGATTTTAATTTAAGAAAAGTCTTTGGAAAACGTATTGAATGAAAAGATGATAGAATGACAGAGAACGATAAGGAGGATTGTACAAAGTGTTCATTGTAATATAAGGAAATATTTTCTTTTAAGAAGCTATATGTTGTACAGAAAGAAGGCGAGTCATTTCTAAAGAGAAGTCTAAAACTTTGGCACGAGTGCAATGGAAAGACTGTACAAAGTGTTCTTCCGCAAAAAAACGTGTTCTAGAAAAATTAGGACTGATCTTGCAATTAAATATGTTGCACATATACAGAGTGTTCCAAAGTTTAATATTCAAACTTCAAACCAATTTCTGTTAAAAATTTTATAGGCGTAAAGCAATATATTTTCAGAGATTCAAATGATTTTTCGAAAAATATATAAATAAAAGTTTCTATACTCTATAAAATATTTTTTTTTTCATCTTTGATCGAAATTTTATGCTTTAGTCGTCAGTAACTTTAGTGTTAACAAAGCATTTGTGAACTTTTTTACTATTTTTATCTCTAGAACTCACCTGCGAAGTTTGTTACTCTGAAACACCTGTATAATATTAGAAACATGTTTTATAAAATATACAGAACTTCCCTTCGCATAAAAAAGATCGTTAAGGCTGTAGAAAAGTTTGCTCTTTCGAGGAACGAAAGACCTAAGGTAAAATTCGCAAGGCAATCTCCTGCAATTCCTTTAAGGCTGAGATCTAGAAAATTATATAACAGCAACGCGGAAGTAGTCGGATTGGAAAGTCGGCAAGAATGCAGCCAGTCAGGTTAAAGAACTTGATTAATTCAATTGTTAGTTTCTTGTTTTCTTGCTCGATAGCTATTGGCTTTTCAAGCTTCGAGTAAAATGTAATCACAGTGTAGAAAGATCCTTTTAAATCTTTCCAAGTCCTCGTATAGGTCTAATTGTCGATATTTCTAGATTAAGATTCGGTAACATAAAATACTGTACGAGAACGTGTGTGTGATGTGGGGAAAAGTATCGATTGAATCGAGATTAGTTTTTTGTTTTGTCGTTCAACGTTTGAATTAACGTATTTGTTAGGTTAAAATTCAATTTTATTCTCCGCGACATTGAAGGAACGATAGAGTGATTCTCCTAAGTATTCCCAAGTCCTCGAAATGATGTTTCAACAGCAACGAATGGAAACTCTGTTTGAAAATCGCAAAAGTGTACAATACAAAGAAACGAAAGTCAATTATTAATTCCTCGTTATCTCCTTCGTCAACTATTAATTTCAATGATACGATACAAAGAAGACCGATACAAAAAAAAAAAGATCTCTTCGAAACCCCATATCTAATATTGATATTTGAACGATTAAAAAATCGTACGAGCAGCATTACTCGCGCGAGAAAACAAATGGAAAGAAAAATTCGTGACGAAAAAGGAGAGAAAGAGAGAGAGAGAGAGAGAGAGAGAGAGAAAGAAAGAATGAAAGAGAGAACTGGTTCGAAGCGGTGATTCTGCGTTTTAATAGAACGATACATTGCGGTGCGTCATCTGTCCATAAATCACGACCGCTCGGACGTAATAACTTATGGGTCTGGAATCGAAATTGCAACGAGGCTGAGTTACGATCCGTGTAGATACCAGACGAAGTCTACTCTAAACAAAAACGCCTGTAAAATATGCGCAAAATATGTGCTCCCGTTATTCCCGGAACATCCACCGTATCGACCGTTCTCGTTCGTTTACGTAACGCGCGACACGTTTTAGAAAATCGCCTTCGATTATTGTATGCAAGATCGTTTTTTTCTTTTTTTCTTCTTCTTGTATATATCTTGTACATTTTGTACGCTACTATTTAATTCGTTAAATATATATATATATATATATACATATATGTATACGTGGCAACATGTGTGTGGTCGCAGATACGTTTACCCTGTTCAACTACTTGTCAATTCCTTGGTCGATTAGAGAGAATAATTGAATGATATTTGTAGAAAATGTTGTAGGTGCCAAAATTGGAAAATTTCATTTTTTTTATTGAAAAATGTTTTATTTTTCTTCTGCAAGTAGTAGATATCTATAGTGCTAAAATACAACATTGCTGATAAATGATTAAGACTCGATAACATTTTTCTTCCTCCTGAAGAATTTTATATTTTGGCATTTACAATGTTTTCTACAAATATTCTTCAATTAGATGTTTCGTTTATGTTGATTATTAAATATCTAGTGCCTTAAATATAAAAGACGCTTGTTAAATACCTAGCATCTTAAATAGATAAGTAATTTTATTGAGGGAGGGCAATCTTTTTAGTAGTTGGTTTAAAGTGACGAATATTGTGATTCATGATCTCTATTCCTCGCGATCACTGTCCTCAAGTTGATTTAAAATGATGAATATTGTGGCTCGTAACCTTTCTTCTTTACAATCATTGTCTCCAAATTGGTTTAAAATGATGAATATTATGATTCGTGATTTTTGTTCCTCGTAAACATTGTCGTCTTTTCGAAATTTATTTTATAAAAGAAAGGTATAAAAATACTTATATTTTAGCCCGCGAGCTTTTATTTAAACAGTTCAATTACTTTAATTTTTAACAATTTAATTTTTTAAAACATACAGTGTAAAAATAAAAAAATTAACTCGACGATTCATAAATTCTTCACAAAGGAAAAATGTATTTCTTCAATTTTTTACAAAGGAAAAAAAGTTCTTTACAAAGCAAATCGAAGAACAGAATTTTTCTCACAACTTTACAAAAATATAAAAGTTCGTGAAACCACGGTAAAATCTCCATCTTCTTCGCAGATAAATATCTCGTTCAATCTTTTAGCTAGACATCAGGATTGAAGGCGATTCGTATAATCTTCTCGCAACAATCTGATCGTAATAGAACGTACACGCCGTCTAATTATCTAATTATCGTCGCTTAATTATCTAATTAAAATGTACGCTGCGTTTTATTACGCTAAACGTTGACTAGCAATACACTGTTTGGCATCGTTGATCGTAAACTTTAATTATGCATCTCGTCAGTGGCGTAGAAACTGATTATCCGTTCGTGAAAAGAAAGGATGTGTGAGTATATCTGTCTGGGGCTGAGATCGCGTTATTGGCACGTTGAAACGTCGATTAATTGATCCCCGACGTTTCGATGTTGCATGGAGCGAACAGATCGAACGTGTCAATTTGTCAGAGTGATCCTCTCTTCGAATGTGTATAGTCTCTGATTCTACAGTTTCGATTAATCGTGGAGCATTTACAGAAACGATAGAATGTTAAAAATAATATTAAGTAACTAATAACGAGTAATTTATTCTTCTGCGTGAGTTGTAACTGATTGATTGAGTATTTTGGAGAATATTGAAATACAATGATGGACGAAAGAAAGTTTAACCGAGTTTGTATAAAATATCTTTTCCATTTTAATTACCTGTCTGTAAGAATATATGTGTGTAATTGAGTGAACTGAAGAACAGTGTGATTCCAAAATTATAATAATTATATATAATTAATAACTTCACTTTTTGTATTATGAGAATGCTATTAATTTTGCTAGTAATTAGTGTTTCGACAATTTGAACATGATTTCACATGTTTAAACATGTATTTTCATAATGTTGAACTTGTACTGTCTTCCTTCTCACCGATTTCAATTATATCATATATTCGCATTTCCTATAAATTATAACTTACAAGTTTTATAAAATTACCACGATTTTCCCTCGATTTACTGTTTAAACTTTCTTTTGGCCGTCTTATTTCTGTCGACTGTGAATTTTCTTATGCAGTTTCATATATTTATCGACATAATTAACGAATATACTGCTCCAAAATACTCATAATTTAAAAAATAAAATATCGAATAACATTCAAAATGATATAAAATATCCAAAATATATATAGAACATTTTCTTTGATCTTGTTCCTTTAGTTTCGCAGACTTAATAAATAAAACCTAAATTCGTTTCATTCATTCAGACACTTACAATTAGTTTTGAATACTCTACAAGAATATATTTCATCTACTCTTTGCAGATTTTATGCACTTTCTTATACTTTTTGATACTCTAAAACCCTCACAAGTGCATTATTAAAATCATTAGACTTATTCTTACGAACTAAATGCAAGATTTCTTTAATCTACTAAATATTACAATAAATACTTTGCTTTGAATATTTCATATATTCTCACACATACTCTATGCATTTCTGTACTTTCAAATCTCCCACGTAGTGCATAAAAGTATAATTATACCCTATCATTAAATATTACATTCTCTTCATTTCGTCGAAATTGCTCTACGCCACTGTATAAATAGAAATTATGCTGACTTTGGTTAAGAAAAAAAAAAAGGGAGAAAAGAAATATTGCAACGTAGATCGAGAAGATTGATCATGATATCAATGGCCCCCGTAGACGAGATCATTTCCGCGAAAGATTGCCTCGATCATCAACTTCCGGTTGAACTTTCCTCCCCTGGACTCGACGATCGCCACTAGTTGCTGATATCGCTTCCATGCGGTCACCGAGGCCGCTTCCCCTTCCGGCGTGTTCTTAATCTTGTGATACACGTCCGTACTCCTGACCGCAGACTCGGAAGTCTGACAAATGCTCTCCGAATCCGGTATCATCTGAAATTTCACGGAAACACATTTTTTAACTCTCGATTCGTGTTCGTTGGATCGTAATAATTTAAAATGAATTATTTACAACGCTCGACGCTATTTTTTTTTTTTTTTTATTGATTCTATTCGTCTGTTAGAGACATACTTAAATTCATAGTACGCAATATTATTAAAATATGTGAGAAATAAACAGAAATTTACGTATGATTTTTGAAGACTAATAACGAAGGCTAATTTATCGTGATATATTTTTTTTATGATAAAATTTTTACAAAACGACGAAATGATTTTACGATATGTGAATTATTTCTTTCTTGGAAGTTCACGTTTTCCTTTCATTAATTTCGAAATCACTTTAATGATATTTGCATTAATATCTGAAAAACGAGAAGTTTTAAGAAAACTTGGTTCAAATAATACACAGACAACTGTAACAATTATTTTATTTTATGTACTATTATATAAAATAAATAAAATAAAATAGTTGTTACAATTTTTAGTCAACAAATCAAATCGTTAGAGTTAGAAATTTTTGTATAAAAACAAATTTGCACAAAGATCATTTTGATTTACTTCAAGTAATTTTTTACTTGGAGCATCCTCTGAATAAGAGGCAAGAGTCCAGATACTTTCGAGCGATACACTCTTTTAAAGGTGTACATACTCCCTCGTTCATCTTTTGTTCTCATTTAAGGTTTCATCTTCCAGAGAGACTCCTTTCTCGCAAACCATTTTAAAAGCACGTTGCTTTCATTTGCTAAATTGTGCAAGCTCTTAAGCTCGCCAGACGTTATTCCATCGGTAGAAAGAGAATCTAAATCACCAGGCAGTCCTTTTCCACGTCCTGACTCCAATTAAAATTCGCTTTTGTTCTTCAAACACGAGCCCGATTGTATTACAACCGTTCCAGTTAATCCTTGCAGAATCCTTCCTACTTTCTCTCTCTCTCTCTCTTTTCCTATCTATCTATCTTCTTTCTCAACGTTCTATTTTAACGAAATGCTAAACAATTACTAATTACCATGATGAACGATCTTTTCGAAACACTTGCCTCCGAATACAAAGTCTCGTTTAGATTAGTCAAGTTACTTCATCTGAACTTGAGCAATTTAAATTCGAGTAACTTCAGATCTTCTTACCAACGTGAAAATGTTATTCAAGAGTTAGTTACTCGTGCTGCATATTACAATTTGTTTCATTAACCATCACATGTGTACATCTTGGTACAATTGGTTATAAGTTTCAAATTCTATTGGTGTGATCTACTGATGTGTAATATTAATAATAATATTATTGATATATTAATGAAGTTTCAATATATTATATATGCGATACATTCATATTCCTGAGAATATAATTAAATAGAATCTTCTTTAAAAACTCAGATCTAGAATCGTAGATTTTTAGATCCTGCAATTCTTCTATTATTCATTCTATGCAATTTTACAGTTTGAAGATTCCTATAAAAAAAAAAGTGGGATCTCGTCGGAAAATTGTTTTACATATATTAAATATTGCAGAACGTGCTCCGTTTCGAAGTTCCCTGAAAAACGGGCGAGAACCCCGGTGATAACCAGTTAATACCAATCGATACGAGCAATACCCGTTTCGAATGAAAGGACCGAAAGAAAAAGCGGAAAGCGGCAATTGGCGAATTTTCGTTCGCGCGAGAGCGCGAGGAACGCGTTTTCGTTGTTTCGTGCTGTCCATCTTACTCTGTTCCCGCGGTCAGCGGTAGTCGGGGAACAGCGAAACGCTTTTTAAAAGTTGCACCCGCCGAGATAAAGCAACGCGAGCTTTCAGCGCTTTTTTTCCACACGCAATCGAGTCGAGTTGTTCCGAAAAGCTTTGAATAGTAAAATAGAAAGAAACAGGGTGGCGGAGCGTGTGCTGGAAGGGTGAAGGGGGTTGGACAATCGAAGGGAGGGGTGGAGGCGCGTGTGTTGTTCGGTTTTGAAAGTGTAACGCGCCTCGGAGGCCCGTATTTTAGCCGTTGAACCGCCCCGCCGGTGGTTGTGGCACACGGGGGTGAATCTGGCGATGGGGGATGGGAATCCTTAGTAACAGTGTAATGCGGAGTATTGATTTCGTGGAGCCTGGCTTTAGGCTTGTGTTACATGTGTATACACGGCGTCCTACAAACATCGGTCAACCTGAGCAAACGACTGAGAGATCCGAGGGCCGTGATTAAACCGGCCGCTTTCCCGGCCGTGTCGAGCAAATTACAGCGGCCGGTGAAAATTGCTAATAATTAGCCGAGCGATCGGGATAATGGCGCGAGGATTCGTTGGCTGATCAGTCCGTTGCCTTGAATCCCGTTCGGGGGGGTAACCTCGTCCCTTGGCGTCGAATCGACACCGATAATGGGAAAAACTAGCACAACGAAATGATAAGGGTTCTTTGATTTCTTTGGAATTTTTGAATCTGACACTGAGACTGCCAGAGTGGTCAAAGTGACCAATCTGTATGATGTTTTCAGAGCAATTTTAAAGACTTGAGCGTGATTTTTTTGTAAAATATTTTTCTATTCCTTGCGCTCTAATTCCTCTGGTACAATCTTGATGCTTTAAACGGTAGTTCCAATTAATCGTGTGATGAGATCCGCGCAATTCTTGCTCTCGCGTGTAGACACTTTATGATCTTATTTTCTCTAGTTTAGTTCAATGTTCAACGAAACACGAAACTAAAACGCTCCGGAGAAATAAAAGTTTCTGGAGCAGCGTTTACGTAATAAGTAAAGATTCGCGCGACGTCCCATTTTAATTCGTCCTCGCGTGTCTCGTCAGCGATATTACACGAAACTTGGCGAATAGAAGCTTCCCAAGCAAGCCTGTCCGCCGGCCAAGTTAAAACGCTCGTGTTCGCGAATTTTCGAAGAAGATAAATGTTTATCGTTGCTCGGAACGGAAGCGGAAAAAGTTAAAGTGGCTGCCAGAGTCTTTCAAAACTTCCCATAGCCTGTGCTTAAAACTTCCACCAACGTAAATAGAAGAGAAGGATAGTCCAACTGCTTTTTTCCCTCGGCCATAAAAGTAGCAATTCCCGGAGCTACCAGCTCGTCGGGATTATTGTTCCATCTTATATTGACGAGCAGATAAAAACTCGGATCATATTTTCAGCGCAAAATCGCGACTCTTCCCCGTTCAAACTATTCTCGTCTTCTTTTCAATCTTACGAAAACTTGGACGATTCGCAAATAACTGTGTTACTGTACGTGACACTTTGCTGTTTGTCACTATGAAAATGCTCACCGTGAGAATGACAGAAATTTTGTATGACGAGCGATTGAGCACTGACAATGAGTATCAATCATAAGAGATACGTGATTGAATCACTAAATTAATACTCCAATTGAATCATTGAAAGTACCTTTTGTGTTGTGGAGATATGATGTAGAAATTTAATTATAAAAAGAAAAAGCATAATAGTGCCTATATGCACGAGGCACATGGAAAAGAATAAAAATATACTGCAATGAGAACACAGATTATATATTTATATAATTTACTAACATATATTATACCTAGGATAATTATATATTATAGTATGTAATAATATTGTGTAACCATAAAAAAATAATTTCCAAAACTTTTAAAGAAACACTAATCGTCGAAACTTCATAATGGAACAATAAAATCCAGTTTCTTCCCTTTTCTCCCCCAGAAAATATTTCTGGCGTCGTATCTCGAACAAAGTCTTAAACTTTCGAGGAGCGGTTAACAAGTTTAATGCATGCAGTGCTAATTGCGCCATTGAGAGTGAAAAACCTTGCTAAACCACCTAACGACTGGCAATTAAGCTTTGAACTACACCGACTCTCGATGGAAGATCCCTGCACTTGTTGTATTGTACTCTTGTCTTTAATGACAGCGGCAAAAGCTTTAAACTAGATTCGGTAACCTGGCAGGAAATTAAACCTTCAGACTGATGTCTTAATTAATTGCAGCCTCGTCTAATGTTTGATCAACTTTGCTATTCATTCGAGAGTGCAGTGCCTCACGAAAGTATTCGAACAGTTATGAAAGAACTTTTATCAAAACTCTTTCACTAGCTCTTGTATTATATAAAATATTTGGAAATTTGATTAAGACCGTGATATATACGAAAGACGACTATTGTAATTATATTGGTAAAATTTGGAATCTGGAAATTTATATAGAAGTTCCAAGGTATTTAGTGGAAATATACACAGAGTTTTCGATATCCAAAAACTATGTGTGTAATAGAGAGACAAAAATATTTGGTGGTATGAAAACTGATATTAAATTGCATGTAACTAAACAGAAATTAAGAAAATTGTCGGTTTATTTTTGTACATAGGAATGCAACAACATTAGCTGCTGGAATTATCCAACCTAAGGAAATACGTCATATTTTTAGAAAACAGAGTTACATTTAACAGGAGCAGTAAATAAATACAATATATACTTTAGAATAGATTACTCTTACTACTGTAATATTATATAGTACATGTAGTAGTATTATATTATATTATATTATATTATATTATATTATATAGTAGTATTATATAGCACTCGTATTGTGTGTAATACTTCACTGTGTAAATTTCCTCTTGTCCACTAAATATCTTGTAATTACTTTGTATTACATCTTGCACGTGTCTCGTAATTACGCCTCTCTAAATTTGCCTCAAACTTGACCACAGTATATATAATCGTAACGTGACACGGTATACGTAATACATACATTACGTAATATTGCATACGTATGTAATTTCACGTAACATTAGCATACAAGAAACCACTAAGAAAGTATTGATTGAAATTCCAGATCCCGAGGTTCCATTCGGCAAACAGCAAATCAAAGCGAAGCGTCGATGTGAATGGCGTCGTCGTTGAGATTCGATCGGAACTCACCTCGCTTATCGACGATCCTACTCTCTGCTCTGTCTCTTCCTTCGGTCGGTCCAGTCTAGCCGACGAACGGGTTAAGGTCGTTTCTCACGGTGATATACTCGGTGGAATTTGCTCCAAGAGTCGATGGAACGGCCCGCGAGAACGGATTCGGAGTAGAGCACGGTCCAACAGTAACTGAAGGAGGCCAACAAACGAGGCGATCATCAGCTGGTTTCCCGATTACTTTGCCCCCCTCCGCAGGCCACGGGGAACCCACATGTGCCAGCCATATGGTGGGGGGGGGGGGAGTTAGTAGAGGGCTGGAGGAACAACCATGGAGAGCGAACCTCTTTCGTTCGCACCCTCGGCTTCTCCCCCGAAGTCGGCCGGTCTGCTTCCGGTCTTTTTGCTCGCGCGCTAACGACTTTTTAAACCACCGAGGATTTCCTCGGCGACTCGTGTACGAAAGCCAGTAATGTCCATTTGTCTATCTCTGTTGACATGTGGTAAGTTGAAAGATATTTGGACGCTTGTTTCGTTTGTTCTTCCGGGGAGATTTCATGCTGCTTCTGCAAATAATTGCGGCTACGGGACGTGATAATCTGCAGGTCTCTAGAAAATAGAAATATTTGGAGATCTGGCGTTTACTTTGATTAATTTAGTAAGGTCGTAAAGTAAATTTCAATTTGATGCACGATTCGAATATTTGGTGTATAAATAGTGTTGAAATTTATTTTGAGATTTCTAATACTGCTTATTTTAGCGTAATTTATTTGACGTACTGTTTATTATTTATTTTAATTTAATTTCAACACTATTTATTTCGTATTTTCTGAAATTTCAGTATTCAACGCACAACTAATTTAAAATCTAATGAAGAGTAGAATGTATTATAGTTATGTTTTTTAGTAAATTCGTACGTAAAATTTTATTATTTAAAAATTTATTCGTATTCGCTACAAATTGATCAAATATCTGAATACAATTCACTTTTGCTCGTTCTAGGAATTTTAAAATACATTTATCTACTTATCGTAGATAATAACATTTACAGTACACTGTGCAATAATTAACAGGTGTAGCAATTTTCTATCAAAGTTCCATTTTTTGAATTACGTATATTTGTTAAACTATCAATTTGCATAAATATCTATCGTCTAGTAATAACTTCCTGCTGGTATCTTCTGACTGTTTAAACAGACATGCTCCTCGAAACTAGTTTGTCATACTGAATATCGAAGCCTTTAATTAAACTGTCTGTAAACATCGTTGTTCCTGCGTCTGCACGTGGATATAGTTACGCAAGCGAGTTATCGATAAATCGACGTTAATTGCCATCTGGTTTAACCGAGTGACAAGACATGAAATGCTTGGAACTCCAAGCAATACCGTGTGACGTCTTCCCTAATTCGCTTTGTAGATCTTCGTAGAATATCAATTATTCTAGTGCGTTTTCTGTCACCTGTTTCAACCTCTGTTAAATTTCAAAAATCTTCAGAAAATTTCTTGTGAGTTTCAGAATTGTATTGCTATTGTTACGAAAGAGATGAAATATTCAATTAAATGTACATTGCAGTACATTGATCTTAATGATCAAATTCACTATGCAATCTCGAAAATTTTGAGTATTTTATTAATGAAAAGTCACAAGAATATTCTAATCAACAATTCAAATAAATATTATTTTGTTTCAATTGATCAATCAAAACGTGGGTCGTCATTCTTCCGAAATCTTAATTACTTCTCGTTATCGAAAATTCACGTAAATATTTCAAAATATTCTAACCAACGTCTCACAAATATTTATTCAATTTGTAACACAATTGTCAAAATACCTAAACAATCTTAGCAAATTTGGACCGCCAGACTTTGAAGACTTCTAAACTGTTAAAGAAAAATTCGTAAAAAAAATGTCCAAGCAAAATATTCTCGTTGACACGTTTCGCAAATATCGCCCACTGTACGTAGCAGCCATAATTTTTCCATTATTCTCCCATCCGGTTCGTAGATTCATATTGTGGCGAAAGGCAGTGAATTCGCGTGGAGAATGGGTCGGTTCAGCTCGATCTGTCTGCATTCCACGATGTCCACGATATTGTCATGGGGACTTCTGGCAAGCCATTGTGGAACGTCGGGGGAATCGAGTAAATTGGCTGAATTGCCACGTCCGAGAATCGTAGCACGTCGATGCAGACGCAAGATAGAATCACTCGAATTACAGCATAGAATAGTTTGGACAGAGACACTGCTGTTTCCATGCACAATATGCCCGGATCTTCCGGGATCGCTTGGCCGTTTCTCTCGCAGAGAGATCCGACCAAATTAATTGTCCTAGTCTGTGTGTTCTCTTTTTTCCCTTTTTCATACTGAATCACCTTGTTTCTGAAAGCTTGTTCCAACAGATTTCGATTTATATACTCCCCATATTAAAAAATTGAATTTAATTTAATTCGATTTTAAATAAATCTAAAACGTTGCCAATATTCCAACTTTAAATTAAATTTAAATATTCCAACTTTAAGTTGAAACTTCAATTAATAAATTGAAAAAATGTCCAAAATTCTGCTTTGAATATTTAAAATTGGAACTTTGATAGAAAATTGCTTTACCTAATAAATATCATAATATCATATTGCAATAAAAATCTAGAATTCACTTATTATGTTCACTTTGGAATTAAAACAAATTAAATTCATAATAGAAACGTTGAGAAATAATATCCATGTAATATTAGTTGCCATTTTAGAATTAAAGATTTTAGTATTGAGAAAAGATATTCTACAACTTTTGGTCGAAACTACGTGTCTATTTATATTATTGACAGTTTAAATCAATCATCTATAACACCAATCAATATTAAAATTAACATTGACGTAATATTGAATTAATAAAAATTAGTAAAACTCGTGTATATATGAAAATGTATATATATATGATTCTGAAATCAACACAAAAGGACTGAAAATATCCGCAGACTAGTAAAAGTTTTCTGATTCAACATCCCAATCTTTTTCCAGCTTAATACGCGGTTCAAGCGTGTTTCCACGGGGCTTTGAATGTAACGCGAAAGCTATTTTCCTCGCGGCTCGCGAGAAAAGAGGAAAAGTTGCACGGCACGAAGATGTTAGAACAGAAAATGCGATGTGTACGCCGGCAATAAAAGTCTCGCCGCCGTAACTATGAAAGTGAAAAGTTTCGTACAACGACAGATGGTTCCAGCATGTGCAGCGAGTTGAAAGATATTAAAAAAAAAAAAAAAAAAAACAGAGTAGAGAAAATAAAAAGGTCGGACGTTCCCATTGGCGCGATAAAAACCTGGTGTAAATTATCACATGTGTCTCTGTACAAACTTCTATCCGTATATTCTATAATCTCCCTACATTTTCATAGGAAACTCACAGCCTCAGATTAGAATTATCTCGTCGGAAATTTAATCATGCAAATATCTCTCGAAGAAAGAAATTTATTCTTCCTTGTAAGTCGTCTGGAATTTTATAATACTTATAATTAAATATTTAATGAAACAAATTGTTTTAATTGTGATTTTAAACGTGAAACTAATTGTATGGTTTAATAGAATGGAAGAGAAGAAGGATAATATCGACGAACCGTGTCAGGAAATTGATTTCGCTTAAAATAATGGTTGATCGGTACGCGCGAGTGATTATTTCACTCGAGATTTAATTAAATATCGACGCTTGAAAGAGGAGAGGAAACTTTTCATGGAACGACCGACGAAGGAGAATATTAATTGACTGAGCCTGAAAAAATTGATTTCGCTCCAAATATTAGCCAGTGATACGTGCAATTAAAAAGTAGATTACAGAGGTTTCGAAAAATTAACTGTTACGTACAATACAGAAATTATTTGCAATTCTAAACGTCTAAAATTTTGCAAGAAATTATATTTATAATAAAAATAATTTAGATAAGAACTTTCTAAGAAATGATGGATGAAATATTGATCAAATAGATCAGAAGATTTATTTTATTCGAAATAATGATCAGTTGTTCGATGACTATTTCGTTCGATATTTAATTGCGCAAGCTGCAAGAGATTAATGTCTAGAATTTCTAATGATTTGAAGAAATTAGAGACGAAAGACGATATCGATCGGTTGGTTCAGAAAATTGATTTCACTGGAAATCATCGAATTCCCAGCTGCGCCTATTCTTTAATGGCCAATCGGCGCGTGCAGCATAAAGGCACACGACACCACTCTTACAGCTGCCGGAAGTATACATCTGCCGGCTTCTACTAACCGTGTTCGTGGAGCTTGGCCCACCTTTCCACCGCAACGCAGTATTTTTCAAAATTGTTTCGTAATTGTCTCGCAATTCATTTCTCAGTTATTCCGAAAATTCATGATGTTCACGAATGATCAAACTTGAAGTGATTGTACATATTTGATGAAATTGGACTCACTTATCGAACTTTTATCAAAATATTGAAATATCTACTATGAAGAGCTGTGTAGTATCAAATGAAATACTACAAGTATTAAAAAATGGCATGGAATACTGTAAATACTAAAAAATATTACAATGATGTTATAATTCGACTTTTTAAAAAAGGAGAAAGATAAGTGGATTTCATGTATGAGTGTGGAAAATAGATGAAAAAAATATTGTTAATTGAAATGCTTAGATAGATTTACTATCATTTGTCCTTTTTAATAGCAAAGAATATTTTTAAAAATTCCAGGAGACACTTGAGAAAAAGGAAGATAAAGATATTTTCAGGAATTTATGAACATTGTCACATCAAGTGAAAATAGTCATATTTTCTAAAAAAAAAGAAATGTATTTTCATTTAACAAAAGGGTGACCCAGGAGACATTATTATTATAGATAAAAATCAGAAATATTATTCAACTAATGGACAAACTATTGAAAAAATGCATTTCGAAGACTTGATACCATCAAGAAAATCGGTCATCGAGGAGTACTCAGAAAGAAAGAACGACGAGGCTCCTCTCCTGTCTCATTTTGGAAAATCAGAAACATCTGCCAGGAAACAGCGATCTCTGATTAGGGCCTGGCTCGTGCCGCCGCGCACCTTGGCTTCTCGATCCTTCGGAACGATCCAGCGAAAGGTGAAACGATAAAACTTCAAAGACACAAAGGATTCATTCGAGTTCTCTTAATACAAAACAACTTTAAATTAAAAAAAAAAAAAAGAAAGAAGAAGAAAGGAAGAAAGAATGAGACACAAGAGACCATCTCCGAAATTTCATAACTTTTCAAATCTATAACTTCGAGTTGAAAAGAACCGGAAAAACCAAGTGGAACGCGATATCGCTTTCAATTACTCCGACAGTATCGGCGATATCGGAGATTAAATATCGGAATAATTAACTTTACGTGGCCGAAGACAGGCACGCTTCGTCAAGCGCGATACGAGCGGAGGAAACCAGCTCGATAACGACAATGCCGATACTCTCTCGATCGTGAGGAGAATGCCCGGTAACCGGTTCCCGAGTTTAATTAGCGCATTACAAGGGTAGATGCATCGGCTGATCAGCCTTCGATCTTTAAGCAAACTTCCTTTACCAGGCATCCCTGCTGTGGGTGTGTGTGTGTTTGTATGTGTGTGGATGTGTGACGGAATAAAAATTTATCTTTCGGTTAACGACAACGGGTTTATCGTTTCGCTTCCTCGTGTCTCATATACTGACCGTGTTTAATCTTCTTCCAGGGGAAGCCACCAACGTGTTCGTCGCTCGATGCGAGATAAATGAACGCAATTGTTCGTGGACATTCCGTTCTGTGGTGAGGAACAGGGCGCATCTCGAAGAGATAAAGCATCGTGTACGATTATTCATCATCTTGACGGGATCCAGCGGGGAAAATAATTCATCTTTCGTTGATCATTCCGTTAATTGTATGTATGTGCGTGTAAACTGATTGAAATAATTAGCTGATTGTGTACCATGATTTAATTGAATCTCTCTGAAAGCTAAAATGAATAATTTTGTCTCTGTTAATGCTTCAATTTTGCTTGGATTTGTTCAAAAAACAAGTGACTTACTTTCATTAATATGTACGTTTGTTTGTTGCAGGAAGATGATGCGAGTAACGATGAATTCTAAAACGAAATCATGAAATTATGAATAAAATAAAATTGGATAGATAAATGACAATAATAATGAATATAATACATTAATGCATGTAAATCATACACAGCGTGTAAAATATAAAATCAAAAAGTTTCAATAAGTATTATTGAATTCTATTTATATAATTAATTAATTATTCACAGTGTAGTCACAAATAATATTGCATAGATATTCATAGCTCGCTAACTTAACAAATATAAAATTAATCCTACCTAGCACATCAGTCCCATTGAACTCAAACTGTCCGAAAGGTCTCTGGTCATTTCTAGCGTAAGTTTGATTCGTCCCCTCTTAATTTCGTCGATCTCTAATCATCCCCGGGAACATCCTGCCGGGTGTTCAGGCCGGCCCGATGCTTTTTTTTTTCCAGACGAAATCGTTTCGATTTTTTCGAGTGCAACAGCCGTGGACAAGGAGGGAGAGAGAGGGGGTGGCTGGAAGGGGAGCGAACAGCTGTTCCTGGCCGAACCGTCAGGTGGTATCCCCGTGCTCGTCAGCTGCGGGGGTGAAAATACGAGAAAGGGTTGCGAACAGATCATTTCTGTCGATCGACCACCGAATTCCCCGTAATAGGTCGATCGGAAAATTCGAGACATGAATATTCGTGGAACCAGGATTCCTTCGTCCTTTTCCTTTTTTTTTTTTTTTTTTTTGTATCGAGAGAGTTTTGCCGGCGTGAAGTAACTGATAGTAGGTACTTGGAACGTGGAAGTATTGAGTTCCATCGGTTTCGCAAGTGAAATGGAGTGTACATGGATTCTTCAAATATTTTTAGACACTGGATCGTTGCGAATGAAATGATGAATAGTTAATGAAACTTCCAGTATTGACTCCCGGCCAGTTTATACTATTGTTACTGTACTGCGGATTTTTGTGCATTTATCGAATATTTAAAATTGAGTAAAATACACATAATGTAAAAAACAAATAATGTAAAAAAATTCATAGAATAAGTATAATGCTTCCTGTCATATTTGGTAGGTGAAATAATCTTCTGTTTTTTTAATAACACTGCATGAAAATCTGTAATCCAATTATTTCATTATTAATTTACGTTACATTAATATTAAAATGATTATATTAATTGTATTATGATTTACCAGATTTGACACGTTTTGATTGCGGTAGAAGAAAGTTAGAATCATGGTGGTCGTTCTAATTAAAATTTCCATCCACTAATGTTGTTAATTAGCAAAACTTCGTCAAGAGAAATCCAAATCTCGGAATTTTCTCGTTTGAGGCATTCATAGAAGAGGCAAGCTGAACATTGAATGCCATATCAATGAAGAAGCTGACGTTATCAGACTTCACGAGTTTCGATAGAGATTCCACGTTCGAGTGATAGCAGAAAGTTTCAAAGGCAGTTGTTGGTAACTTTCAATGAAGATTCTAAACTGGAATGGCAATTCCGAGAACTTGGACGTTGAATTTATTGTTCGTTGGAATTTAAACCCTCTAGATATGGAAATTTTTATCCTCTTCGAGAGAAAATGGTGAAGTTTTTAAACAGAAATCTACAAGATTTTGTTTGAATAATGGTATAATAGGAAGTTTCAGAATTATCATGAAAATATCAGAAAATTAATCTCTTCAAGACATTCAAGATTCGTGCTCTCCTTTAAGAAGAGAATATATTTTTCATCATAATGGAGAAACTTAAACTCTAGTCAAGAATATCTATAAAATTTTAGAATTTTCAAAATTTCAATTTCTGATAATTATATATCAAGTATTAAGTCTTCAAGATCTTTGAGGAAAAAAAATTAGAAGAACTTAAATTCTCGTGGAGAATATCCATAAGATCTTGGAATTTTCAAACTGGAAGGCTTCAAACAAAGATCTTAGAATTTTCGAACGAAGGTTCGACAGAAACTTTACACTCGTGGCATGATAAAAAGTTGGAGAATCCTAATTTTGAAAGATCAAACATCAAGCGTCATTTCTTCAAGATCCTCGAGAAGATGAAGAGCACTCTATCCAATTAGAAGAACTTAAACTCTCGTCAAGCGTATCTACAAGATCTTCCAATTTTCAAGCAGACGTTACAAGATATAATCTTTTCCCTACGAAATCAGTTTCGTTCATCTAACAACCATTTGCAGCTGGAAAACATCGTTGATTAAAATCGGCAGAAGATTCGAATGGAAGCCGACAAAGTTGCTTCACTCGATCTCTAATTATCTCGAGAGCAAAACTAAATTTGCGTCGTTAAAGGGATGATTTTTTTTCAAATGAGAATCGAGTGAGAAAAAGATAAAATGGATAAAATATAAAAGAGATAAAATACACTGTAAATGAATAAAAAAAGATAAAACACAAGACATATTTTGATGACAACATTTCGAATCCTAAAAGTTTCTAACGCCAAACATTGGAACTGAGAATGAAAAACGACGATATGCAATGCAGATTCTTTACTTATACTAACTAATTCTCCAAGAGTCCAATCGTGCAGGGTTTCTAAAACGAGGATCGTACTTGACTTCGAATCAGGAACGAAAGACCGAGGATAATGTAATTACGATTGTAATTGAGAATACGATTGAAGAAGTCTCATCTTTGAAAAAGCGCATAGATTCCCTTGGTAACAGCAGTCTGGACTTATTTTCGCCGAACGAACGTCGAAGACAACAAAAGTACCTCGACGGAGCAGATGCATGGCATGTGCTACGAACCAACACCAGATGCCCCATTGGCGTAGAAAGATACCCGAGGCAAGCTGCCGGCGATAAACCTACTCGCGGGATGCTGCTTCCTGACCTGGTCGCGTGCCAGAATCTTCCTATTTTCCTACGGATTCTACCATCTTCTCAGCCACCGTGTGCCGATCCTTCCTCGATTTCTCTATCTTCTTCGATTCCCTCAACAGTCTCAATAGTTCCTCGACTTCGTCGGTGACGGTCAAGTTCTTCGCTGATAGGTCCCTTTGTTGGCAGCTGAGGAGACAAATTATCTGGAAAATTGTTTATTTCAAGGGGCGGATCGTTGTTACTGATGTTGTTTTGGAAATGTATATTGCGAGATTGAAATTTTTTTTTTTTTCTTTTATAAGAATATAAATTGTCGTTTGTTTCGTAATTTGTCGTTTGTGTCGTAATTTCATTTTTGAAATTTTGTTAGCCGCGCAATCGATGAAGTATGAATTTTTTAAAATATAGAATTGTAAGTAATACACAATATGCAAAAATGCATAAAATACCTGAAGTATCGTCTATATATGAAACAATTTTTCACATTTTTACGACTTACAGTATTTATAATTTTTCACAGTTTGATATAAAAATGAAGCCTAGGTTAAAAACTATGTAAACAAGTATTGTAGCTTCTCGTGTTCTTCTCACGGAAGTAAATCATTTATTTTTGAAAAATATCCACGTAATGGAATCAAAAAATTTATAACGATCGTCTCCACTCTTAAAACCTCGATTATAATATAATTGTTCTATATCATTACAATGCTAACAGAATTTCAAAAAGATTAATATAATATAAAAAATTTTCTATTCAAGTATTCAAAGACTTCTGTGAGTCACTGTGGAAACTGAAAGTATCCAGGAAGAGGTCAATGAAAAAGAGTATTAATTAACTTAGCGCTCGTTTATTTACTGGTCAATGTTATCTACAATGATTTATTGTAAAAGTAACAATAGTTGTATATAAGTTAAAACGATATATCATACATATGTACAAGTGGTGAGTCGATCCTGACTCAATCTCATGGAAACGTGTCTGTCGAACGTTTAAAAAGAAGCTATCATCTCAAACAGGCACACCGTTTAATCTTCACGTTGCTTGATTAATTTTTCTAACTACCTTTGATTAATCTTTCTAACTCCCACCTTAAAAGTGAGAAACAAATTCTGTAACATTCAACATTTTTGCATTTCTTACATTACTAACATGCTCAGAAGTCTCACGTAAATCAACAAGTAGAAAAAGCGATAAGATTATAAATCTTGATTCTTTAGAATTCGCAAAAATATTGAAATTTCGACAAATAAACTCATAAGAATGGAGCAATAAAGAACATTCCTGACTGACGAAATTAAATTGAAAAACAAAGCGAAAGTGGATTTTGACTTCTGATATAAATCAGTTCACATTGAAATTAAATTGGTTCACCATAAATGTAGCAACGTAAAAATTAAAACGCAAAAGTAAACCAGATGAAACGAGATGGAACATCGTTTCCACGGGACCGGCGGTCGTGGCAGAAAATTCTCGGTGATGTACTCAGAAGCGAGTGACTCGAGATAGAGGTCGATCGTCGATCAAAAATCACTCGCGACGACGTCGATGTTGAACATTTGTCCTCGTACACCAGAAACGATTCGTCGCTCGCTTAATCATCTAGAAATATTCGATAAACCTATCTAATCGATGAACTGTCTTTTAGAATCCGACATTAGCTAGCGTTAAATATTACTCGTCGCTGTGTGCATCGACGACACTGGATCCAACATCTTCCAAATCGTATACGAATTTCTTTTCATTGACATTGCTCGAACGTTGCACCGCGCTGTCGTTTCTTTTTTTTTTTTTTTCTTTTTGTCTGTTTCTTTTATTCAAGAGTTTTTGGGTATTTTTCTATTTCCGTGATTGGGGTTTGTTTGAGTGAATTTTAGAGATCGTGTGTGATTTGAACGGAGGCACTTGGTAGATATTTGATGAAAAGTGTCGGGAGAACGTGCACGTGCAATGTTCGAACAATTGAAAGATTCCATAATTCCGAATTATCACGGTAAAATAATCTACAAGTTTGTCCTAGGAGTATTTAGTGTCTGATTTCAACGGACGTCTCTTCTCGCTTTTCAACCCTCCAGAGGATGCTCGATTAAACTGTAAATGTTGAATTGAAAGAGACCGAAGACTCGAGCTTAAATAATTCGATAAAGGATAGCTTGTATATTTTACATAGATATGTTTGAGTACTATGTACTTACACTTTCGTTTGTTAAAATTTTTGCAAATGTTAATAGATAATTGACCCAGATCTGCTGGAATTTCATTGTATTATTTGAATTGTAACTAAGGGAATACGATAAAACGTGAGGAATGCTTATAACTATTCTTCAAAAAAATATAATAAGCTTATCCGGGTCTGGTAAAGAATTTATAGAAAGAATTGATGGTCTCGTAAGAAAAACGACCCTTGGCAAATTTTTCAATGTATTTTAGATATATTCAGGAATTGGATGCACAACAGAGTAAAATAGTTGTTATAAAAAATAATACACATTCTGACTATTGTTAATTGTAAGTACGATCATAAAAATTCGAATATTTTTGTTCAAATCTGCTAATTTTAATAGCATTTGTTAATTTCTTATTGAATGAGTGTATCGAAATATGTCAGACAAAAATTTTAAAAATCACATAGAATATTCTTTCGTTTTCTTAAACGAAGACAAACACGAACAAGGGTCGTTTTTATTAAATCTAAAACATTGTTTTTGTATTTCATGCTTTGGAGGGTCAAAGAGTCGATAGTAGTGCACGATAAATACCCACAGGTTTCTCTCTGTCCATTCTCAGAACATCTCGACATTGATTAAGAAACTCTCCCCCGCTGAGGGGTTTTCTCAACCACCTTTTTGCTCTCGTTCATATCGATCCAGCGTATGAACCCCTTCGTATTGACATCGTTTATTGACATTCGTTTTCCCGCGGAGTGAATCTAACGTCCAATGGATCGAAACCGTGCGAGAAGAGAGAATTTTTCTTTCTTTCCTTAGCCTAACGCGAATAAGGGTACAATAAATTATGAATAATTAAAGGAAAAAAAAAAGGAATCAGTAATGCTAGTAAAGGCGGCGATTACAATACTACTAACGACGATACATAAAAACGAATACAAAAATTGTGCTACTAGAGAAAATAATTAAAAAAAAAAAAAATAGGTATGCTAATTTGGTGACTGAACGCGAACAAGTGGAGTGCTGTACGCGCCATTGGATGTTAAGTTCATCATCCTTCTGCTGTATCATCAATGTAGGAACCTGAAGGATCGTTGGATCTATCGATCAACGATCGTGTTTTAGCCAGAAACAGAAAATATGTATCAATGACTGTACCTAGTAAAAAAATGGAATCGTTTTTGTCGTTGGAAGCTTCATCAAATGAAGTGAATTCCAATTGTTTGGTCTTATTCGAAGTCTAAAATTTTATTGGATCTTTATCCTGTTCGATTCATTAAGACGTTCATTCGTGTCTCGACGGTATTGTTCGAAGAATTGCGTGGGTAATCATTTATTGATGATAATGGAAAAGAAACGGACGTTACAAGTTGTTAAAAAAATAATTTGCCAATATATCCATAAAATTAATCTTCATAAATCATTTTCTTTCTCAGTATATCTTGATAAAAAATAAATACTTTTTGAATGAAATTTAATCGTAACGATTTTGAACGTACAAAATTCTGCAAAATTTTTGTTGAAAATTGGCTACAAATACTTGTCTATATTTAGTATAATACACGTTAAACTACAGACTTCTTTTAAAACTGAAATTATTCCAGTTCTGTTCAATTTGCAGATTATTAAAATATTCATTGTATCATTATATAAGATATTCACTGTACTGTTTGATAGAACGTCGATTGAACATTTATGAGAACAGTAAGAACACTAAGAACATTTATAAAAACACTAAGAATACTAAGAACATTTATGAGAACATTAAGAAAACACAAACGAGCAAAAAATAAGGAAATGAAATAAACACATATCGAAATTCCTCTTTAAAATGAAATTAAAAAAAAAAAACGATCCCATTTTTAGAACCTTTTTAGAACTACTTTCTTCAAAATGACAATTTATTTAACCCGTCTGCACACGATGATTAGTCAATTGAACAGTTCTCGTACAAAAGAAAATTCAGTAACAATTAAATGATTCTTACGCAGAAGAGAGTTTAAAGGAAAAAGGTCAAATGGTTCTTACGTAGAATACTATCTAACTAAGCTTTCTCTGTTACAGAAACGCGTCCGAGCTTTGCCACGCAGTCTAACGATGTGTTTTTTTTTTTTTTTTCATGTTCGGCCGAAGAGGAGGATCGTAGAAAAGAATCGAAGAGCCGGACGTGCGACGAAATTACAACGAGGATATCAGTCGCGCGACATTCTCACGGTAATTGCCCGGCGAAGAAACTCGTCCTGAAAAAAAAAAAGTTGCCCGGAACGAAGCCACAGCCAACATCTTCCAGAAAAATCTATGGAGAAGTTCGAATCCACTTGACTCCTCTCTCGCGCGCGGGTCGTTTACTTTACAAACACACGGTGAATGCATTTTAATCTGAATGCAAGGAGGATTCTCCTCCTTCCTTTATTTTTCTCTCTTTCTTTCTTTTTTCTATTATTTTTTTTTTTTTTTTT